GACCACTTCTTACCATTTAAAATCTGGCACATTAGAGACTCTCGGTTGCCATAAATAGTTCTGCAAGTTGCAATGGGAAGCTTGCTGAGCACTCCTTTCACTTTAAAATAAATAAATTAGTGCTCCTTTTCCATTTGTTCAATTTCTCATTTTCTGAATATCCTTTTCTTCCTGTGAGGCACGGACAGGACTGCTGGATGATTACTAATCTTTACCAGAGATCAACGAATCATAGGATCACCTGTGGTTAAAATGTACTTAATCCCTATTGAAAGTTTAAAGCCCTGATCTTTGCAGGAGATTACCACCAGGCAATACTTTGTATAATTCTACCCAGGTCTTTTGATGAGCAATTAATGTTGTATGTCAACACCTCATAGACTGACCTGGTTGGATCTTAGAATCTGGACAAGGCCTACTAAACAGTTAATGGGGGGGGGGGCTCTAAAAACACATGGCAGCTTGTGTAAGTGGTGCTGGTGACCCAATTTGTAGTTCTTCTCTATTCTGGATCTCAATGTCTGAACCAATGCCCGGATGGACACTGTGCTGTAGGAAGTCCTTTGCTTTAAAAAGAAGCAATCAGTCTGTAACAATGACCATGGCAAAGTTTGTAACAATATGGGTGTTAATTCCGGGATCCTGAGTTCTGGTCTACCTATGATTTTCCCCTTAATTTAGCTGGCAAAGTAATTTCTCAGTTCTCCATTTGATCTGTTTTTCAGTGGGTCGGTTGAAGTCAGCAGCCATATCACTCTGCAACTTACAACTGGCAGCCCACTGGAGCCCAGCAGCTGTGAGCCTGGTCAGTACCTGGATGGGAGACCTCCTGGGAAAAACTAAGGTTGCTGCTGGAAGAGGTGTTAGTGGGGCCAGCAGGGGGCGCTCACCCTGTGGTCTGTGTGGGTCCTAATGCCCCAGTATAGTGACGGGGACACTATATTGTAAACAGGCGCCGTCCTTCGGCTGAGATGTCAAACTGAGGTTATTAAAAATCCCAGGGTGTTTCTCAAAAAGAGTAGGGGTGTAACCCTGGTGTCCTGGCCAAACTTCCCATTGGCCCTTACCAATCATGGCCTCCTAATAATCTCCATTACTCTGCTTCATTACTCTGCTCTCCTCCCCACTGATAGCTGGTGTGTGGTGAGCGTTCTGGCGCACTATGACTGCCGTTGCATCATCCAGGTGGGGCTGCACACTGGTGATGGTGGAGGGGAGCCCCCATCACCTGTAAAGTGCTTTGAGTGGAGTGTCCAGAAAAGTGCTATATAAGTGTAAGCAATTATTATTATTATTATAATGGCTGCAACATTGCACCCAGGTGAATAATGGATGGCATTCCATTGAGGTGAATGAGGTGGGTTCTATTTGCAAGAAAAATGCGCTGAATATTTGTAATAGTGTATCTGGTCAATTCTGTTCAAAACTGCAAAAGTGGAACCTTTAAGGTTCTCCATAGTCACAATTTGTTTGTGAAAAAAGTTTCTCAGAAAGAGGATGTGAGTAAGCTCTGCAATTTAGAAAGGACCGACATCTCTTTCACATTTTAAACAGAAAAAAAACAATCGTATTTTCTTTCTGCTACCATGTGGCAAAGCCTTGTTTCTACACCACATGTGAGGACCCGTAGTTATTCCCATCATTCATTTACTCATCTGATGTCCTCATCAGAAGCAATTTACATGTGTATCTGATTACACAGCTGTACTTCTTTCTAAATTAATCTGAACAAAGCTTCTTGTTAAAAGCTGTAACAGAACTGTAATATCCACCCAGTATTTGAAACCACAACCTTCTAGGTAACAAGTACAGAGTTCTAACCATTATACCACACTAAGAGTTAGATCCAATGTAGCAGCTTTGTTCCCAGGAAACCAGACCTGGAAACCATGGGATCTTAGATTAGGATTCACTACCAGGGAGCCAACCAGCCAACCAGATATTTATCAACTGTTAAGATTTTCATATATGAACCTGCAACTGAAATATCCACATCGGTCTCTGACAAGCAGGATATTTAAAAGGCTCACAAGGATCATTATCCTTGGTTTCAGCAATCAAAACACTTTGCAGGGATGAAAAGTAAAGAATACCGGAAAGAAAAGATTTATATGCGAACAGCAGCAGGAAGAGTCGTCTTCTTTACCAAACATTAGTTTCCATTAGGACGTGATTGGATGTACACCACAAATCCTTCAGCACGCACATTCTTTCGTAGACCATGAAACTACAGAATTAATCACACAAAAAATAAAAAGGTCTAGGATAAAATACTTTTTCTTCAGAAATATATCATCTTTATAACAGATGCCACAGACTAACGGTTTTGTTTTATTTCGATTTTTTACTGCCTGAAGGTTATTCCTAGTAATTCCTTCTAGAACAGTGATTGTGTTTCAAAGAAAACCCCTTTGGAAGTAAAACATTTCACTTATTCCAACCGTTTGTGCTCTTGTATTAAAAACGGACCCTCTTATTTTGAAACTTAATTTCCCAGTAGACCCAGCTTGAAGACCTACCCGCACACAGAAAATGCATAGATGGCACATGACAATGAGCTCAGGATTCATCCTTGTGCTAACACATTTCCTGATCTTTCTAAATGAACATTTCCCATGTATATTTTAGAACTGCAGCATATTTTGAAAATTAACTAAAGGAACACGTCTGTTTAATGTAACACAGGACCCGATATTCTGCTACAATGAATCCTGCTTAGATGGAGATCTATAGCTAATGAATAGATACATCTTTCAAAACTGAGCCTCTCTGTTCTTAACAGGGCATAGAGGTCAATGATTTAAGAGTCTGTTCTAAGCTTCAGCAGACAACATGAAAGGGGTTCATTAACATCAGTCAGTTATTCAGCAGGGAAAAGCGTCTCTGTGGTTTTGCTTCTGGGACAGAGAAGGGAAGGACACATATTCCTCATTTTCACAAACTCTAGCAAGACACCGAGGCAGAAAAGGCACCAGATAAGTTGTAAGTGAGCTTAACCAGATCCAGCAGCCCTGAGACTTCATTGCACAGTGCCGGATTCACTACTAATGCAACAACTGGGCTGGTTTGTTTGTTTAAAGTAAAATCAATTGTTATCGGTGGTCCTGGTCAAAGTGTTGACTTCATCGCTCTGATCTCCATTTAAAGGCTTTTGGTGAGTGGCTGTTTCCAGGGGTACATCTTTTGCCTGGGGTTAACCCCCATTGTGCGATTTCAGCATTATCCCCCTTCACCCCCTTGCAATGACAGGGCTCAACACTGCACTAAACACTTGTTCTGCAGTCTGGGGGGTAGCCCATGGTGAGAGATGTGTAGTTTTCTTGGAATTTGGAGCTTAAGGAAAATTGGCCAGCATCAGTACTAATGACTTAGACCAATTTCACAGGCACGAACCTGAATGTGCTCGACAGCCTTTAAATAAACAGCGTTTAAAATAAACACAGGGATATTCCTTCATCTCCCACACAAGTTTTCACCACGCTTGATGCCAGACAATACAGATAAAAGAGGAAATGTATCAGCGCCCTATGGAAGGGGGTTCCTGACTTCAGACGCATTGGATGACAGCAAACTGTTCACTTATTTTAAATTGAGGGCGTACAGTATGTGGATATTGTGACAGGGCACGGAAATCTGATGTGGAAAACCCTGAGCCCCAGTAAAATTACACATCCAGTCGGGCCGACTATTTAAATTTTAAAAAAAGTAGTATTATATTATGATGATATTGATTTTTTCGACTTGTTACAAAATCTTTATTTTTCACAAAACGTTCATAAGATAGACTATTTTATTACCGAGCACAGAATGAAACGAATGACGTTTTCAAAGGCACATTGTTTTTTTTTTTTTTGCAATGTTGGAGTTGGCTTTCCCGTCCAAACAGCCTCGCTGAACGGCCACTCTCGCACTCCGGAGCTGTGGCGGCGGCCGGCGCTTCCCGCCCCTGGTCCAGAAATCACTGGACAGCGCTGTCGCTCGGGGCGGGGGACCTCACACGCTCCGAATCACGCCGGCTCTGAATCCAATACATCCTCCACGGCCAGGAAAGTCGAGAGAGTGCGGGGAAACCGCGAAGGAACGGACCAGGAGAGAGGAAATTTTCGTTCAACGATCTAGCTAAAGAGTTTTAACTGTGCAGGGGAGTCGCCTCCGGCAAATTTTAGTAAAAAGACACATTGACCGCCTTACGAATACGAGCCTCGCCTGTTGCTGTCTATCAACATCTACTTTGCCGTCAACGGCGAAGTATTTTCTTCCCCCATTTTCCTACCGGGTTTTAAATAAAAAAAAACACTGCACGAATGCAAAGTCCTTACAAACGAAGTATTAATCCCAACCTAAAAGCAGCATTATTTGATAAACTACAGCAACAACAACAATAATATTATAAATCATTGTGCAGCGAAAGAAAGGACTGTTTGGAAATAAACAAGCCATCACATTCCAGACTATTGCATTTACTGCAGAAAATAAATTATGTATCCCCCTAACACACCCAAGGTCGACAACACTGGACCCGAATAATGAATAATGAAAAATCATGCTGCAATTCCAAATGTTGTTGAGGGTATATTTCCAGTCCGGTTTATATACGGTAACTTTAAAGCACAAACGTAATGAAATTGCGTTTAATGATATTGAATTGTCACCTTCTAAGTCGAGTTGTTGATTTATCAATCATTTAACGGCGCCCTGCACTTCAGCGCGGACAGTTATAAACGCCCACACACCTGCAAACACCGGAGAAGGAGAAAGGTGCTGTTGGGCAGGCAATATTTTGCTTCATCTCCATTTACCCTTAAAGCTATTCGTGCAGTGCGAGGGCTAGACCAAACAGAAATCGATTCACCTTTTTATTGAGTTTTGGTTTTGTTTTAGCTTAACCCCACACCCCCCAAACTACTGCCAGTCGTTCGGTTTTACAGTCTTTCTTGAAGCGCTAAATATGCGATTAAACCACGAAAGAAAACAGCTATTAGAAACGTTAAACTGGTCACCTTCGAGATGCGTTCGCCAAGAACCTCTATCCAGCGGCTTCTTCTGGATGGCCGGCCTGTCCAGGCGCTCACTGGCGAGCTGCGTCTGTCACACTGACCAGATGACCGGGCGGACTGACGGGGAGCAGCCTGGCGGATGTCCTCCTCCGGGCGGAGTGTCTCCGGCTCTTTTCGTCCACTTTCCAAATCCAAGCGGCAATTCCGCGTTTAGGCTTTTCGGCAGCCAGATACTGCCCAGATGTGTTGCAATAACATCCGATTTTTATGCCGTCTTCAAAGTTGCAGTCAAAGACGGGGGAATAATTACGATCTTTTTTTTTTCCATGCGCGTAGTTTAAGCCGATGACTCCGGAGAAATGAATAACTCTTCCGTTCTAGTTTGGTTTTTGACAGTTTCTTCTTTCCTTGAGCCCTCGCCAATCTTCAGACAAAGCCAGCTCTCACGTTTCTCCCCATGCCCGGATTCGTTTGGCTAGTGTTTTAGATGCGTTGCTTACTTTGTCACTGTTGACTTTTTAACTCGTTTCCCCGGAGGCGTCCCCCCAGTCTCTTGCATCGTCCGCCCGGCCAGGGACGGGAATTTTTGTCTCTGTACCCTTTCTTTTTGCGCTCTAGAGACCCGTCTGGTCTCCCCAGTCTGATGGCTCGGATGCTACAGTATATTGTGCCGTGCCAGACTGCTTACCGTGACGGTCGACAGCTCGCTCTGCTGTCTTTTTGGCAGTTGGTTAATAATAACCTCGTGTCAGCTGCGCGCTGTTCTAGCGACTGGTTAAACCTGTTCAAATGTAGGACTGTGAACTACCTGGTTTAATAAAGCGTGAAAAAGGCAGTACAGTACGTACTATAAAACCACAGCTTCCAGGTCTTCCAAGTCTTCTCACCTCTGATATAAACGCTAGGACGCATTCGCACGTCCACCCATTATCTAAGAAAATTGTCAGAACTACACAATATCACAATAGGATAAAAAGAAGCCCCTTTCCAGATGCCCCGTCTTACTCAGGTTTTATATTCTCAGTAAATAATTAATGATATTGCAGTCATTACCAGTTGGCCTACAGGGAGACAGAAGTTCATCTTTGTCCCAGTTAGCCAAGAAATAAAATTGCAATCAATTTAAGCAATGGAGCAGTGACTTTTTTTTTTCATCCAGCTCAGACTAGTTAGCAGTGAATTGGATCATTTGTTTTCCCTTTGGTGCTTTTCAATGCTCGCAGGTCTTTCCAGATTTGAAGTGGTAGAAAATAACTCCCCTATTGGATTGTTAAGGTATCAGGGTGCAAGATCAAAATGAAGCAAACAGTGGCAGCAGAAAACACAAGACACCTGGAAGTCAGTGGGCTTTTATGGACTGGGCCCATATTTCCGGCAAGGAAAAGGGCAGTTCTGCAAAACAAGCTAGTACAACAACAATAAAACAACTGGATATGAAAGCAAAGCCACAGTCTTTTCCCAAGGGTTGAGCTATAGTATTGCTGTACCTAATTCTCCTTCGCAAAAAAAACACTTTGAGAAGAAAGCTGTGGGAAATTGCCAACAGAAAGTACAGTACTATAGCCCCATAAATTACAGGATCTGATCCAGAAAGCATTCCAAGAGTTCCCGTGAAATGGAGGTCTCATCCAAAGCCAGTCATTTTATCCTTCATCTCTAACACGGCAACAAAAAAACTAAGGCAAATAAAAAGGAAAACATTGTCTAGACTGTCTAGACTTTCAACTTCTGGTTTAATGCACCAGTCTGAATAGATCAAGGTTGTTAGTGACTTTAAATAATGTCACCTCTGCTCTGTAGTCTGTAGAGCATGGAGAACAGCTTTCCAAATGAGCAAACACTGTAACATACCATAGCTGCAGAAACCATTTTTAAATTCATCCCAGAACACCAAAGCTAGTGACTAACTGGTTCCTTCATGCTGGTTTAGGTGCTCAGTGTCACGTGACGAGGGCTCTGCAGGTACTGTACCAAATTAAGCTCTTTGTTTACTCTGCACAGCTCATTCGGTTTGCTTTTGTTCTAGTTCTCCCATGTTCTTGTGCGGACAGGAACTGGGTACCACATTCAAAGAATATGGTACAATAAATAGCCCAATTTAAGCTGTACCTTCCCTTCAGAGGGACAGGGAGAAAGATCAGCAGATAGGTTTCATGAATCTGTGTCTGAACTAACGGGTTATACCCATGTCAAAAAAACAATCGCCCGGGGAGAGGGTTTTAGATTTGTTAATTGCTAATAAGTTTAAGTAGTTTTATGTTGTCTTTGTGACTCTGCAGAACTGAAATGAATCATGAGCCAGACCCCACCCTGCAGTGTTCTTGCTTAATGGGATCTTGAGCTCACAGGTACCAGCAGTCTTGACATTTATTTTCTTGATTCAGTAGCAGCCTGGTCCTTCTGCACTGGTGTGGAGATAGAGAAACTAGCCTTCAGGAAATTAACTGGTTTCATGTAATGGGGATTTTGCACTCCTGGTCACTGTGGTAGTCCTGAGCTGTGCGCACAGTGTCTCACACTGCACTAATACAGGCAGCACTGACCCCTGCTGGACAAACTAAGACTGCATGCACCTCCAGAGAGGTGTTTCATGGACAATCGCTTACATCTAATAATCTATTTAAACTTTAAGATCTAAGTTTGCACACAGGTTGAAAGGCTTCCACATAAAAGCTGTTATAATAATAAATAATTAAAAGAGTAAAAAAATAACATAATTGATCTGTTAAGCGAAAGTGAACAGGGAGCTGAAAGTTAGTTTATGGTAGTCCAAACACTCCTCTTTTAACAATGTTTACAGACAGTGCTCTCTAACAGGCTTAATATATTTCAAGTCTAAATCAATCACAGAGCTGTGCAATGAACAGATACTGATGAAGTGAAAATTTGAAAGTGATGTCAACACAATTACTTGTCTGCACAATATACGAAGCCATAGTGCAGATGCAGGTTTAATTGGATATCTTAAGGAAGAGATTAAATTCTGGGCTAAGTTTGTCTTGACTAAGAGCACCGTAAACAGTCTTGACAGTCCCCTGTGAATTTTAACCAGTGTGTCATTACTGATTAATATAGCAATCACTGCTGCAAGGAATGCCAAATTAAATGACTGTTAACCAAAAGTGGACCAACACTAAAAGCTGTGATTGCCTTTGCTGTTCTTGCTCTCTTAGCAAAAGGTCTGACACACACGTTATACAATAACAGCTGCGCCCTGTTTTTGAGCAACAATCCAAATCGTGTCACCCACAGGCCTTAGAGGCCTTAACGGCATTGCAGTCAATCATGTGGAAGGAACAGCACAGGCAGAAGGACCTGTCTTTGTTTTCCCATATTAAAGAACAGTGTCACTCTTCCCGCTCAGTGATAAGGACCCAAGAGGAAGAGTTACTCATTAACTCCCCTCCTCCAGACTTTAAACCTGTGAAAGCAGGGCTTGGGTGAGACGGGGACCACTGACAAGAGAATCTCCCAAGCCCAGGGGAGAAACAGATTTGAGCTTCATCTGAGAGAGGTAGGCTTACATTTCGCACAATATTCAAAGGGAAAAAATTAGCTATGTCTAAAAGACAGGCTAAGAAATTGAATATTTAATTGCTGCCTCTTTGTGACATCAATTTTAAACAAACAACAGTCTTGTCTTCCTGTTTCTCTTCCTGTGTCCTCTTAAGATTCAAGCGCTGAAAGCTGCCTTCATTTCAAATGTGTTGAGAATGCTTGCGCAAAACATTTAAAAACAACGCGTCAGGTTGTTTTAAAAAAAAAACTTTCGCTCCTAATTAGTCCAGATCTTGGATTACCATAATGAATGCCAATCTTTTCACTCAAAAATGAGCAAGGATCAAAACAGAAGGAGACATACTGTAGGATATAGAAGGCCCATATTTTCAATCGGGGTATGTAGACTCCAAACCCCAAAATACAAGCAGGATATGCAGTAATGTTTTTGTTTCTAAACATTTTCTCATTCTTTATTAAACAAATCCCATGCTGTATTTAAGACTTTTTCTACCTGGACACAAAAATAACACAGTTTTCCACATGTAATCTCTATGTACTCTATCCCATGTTATTTAAACCAAAGCACGTAAATTAACTATTTACTTTTGCAACACATAAAGTTATTCATGTAAATTTAATTATTTACTTTTGCAACACATAACGTTATTCATGGTTCACATTACCTGCATATTAGTGCTAAACAGAAGGCATAATAGACAGGATAAACAGAAAGTTCAAATGCATTTATGAGCCAAATGAGTTGCTTGCAAATGCGCAGCATGGGTGTGAACTCCAGAGCTTGAGAAGATTGTGTTATATCAAGCGTCCACGTGTACTTAATAAAAAGCACTCTCTGATACCACTGTCTGATATCGTCTCTCACACGTATAAGAAGATCATTATAAACTGCACACGCCCAGAGGAAGAAGCAGACAGAGACATAAAGTTCGTTCCACAGCTCCTGGAATTAAAAATCTTCGGAGAGCAAGCTGCGTGTGAAACGGGGAACAAGTGCGACCCCGATTGCTTGTAGATGCCCTTCCTGTGGCATGGGAGCCTGTTGTCTTTGAACACGATATCATTTTGTCCACCTCGACTCACAAACTGGCCCACAATGCCTTCCACGTTTCTTCTAATACTCCGTTCTTGTTACAATCTCAGGGCAAGGGCAGGCCAAGCGGATTATGGCGCTAGTGGACAATGAGGTCTCTTTCACGGTGAAGGTGGGTTGTGCTGAGCCATGCTCTTAGAATAAAATGATTCCATTTTCGAACATTCCCTTGCAGAAAACAGTCAAATGGCCAACAGGGGGGTCTTCTCCTGTCATGACCATAAAAGGTACATGCACAGCATTGAGGGGTGAACAAAATGCATGCTCACACTTCGAAAAGAACATTTTCTATCAATCTTTACACAGCCCCATTTAAGAGGTGGGTACACAGGACTGCATCCACAGGGAATAGTCTAGCATAGCACTTGTGCTCCAAGGGGGTTACAGTATATCTGGTGATTAGGGAAGTGATACCCCCACTCCTTTCATCTGTGAACACTACAGAGCAAGTGAGCTGCTGTGCCCACCTATTTGTGTCATTGGTGCATTCTTGTCAGAGAATTTCGCTGCTTTTTTGAAGTAAAATATAAGTGTTTTCGTTTCCTAACGTGGATGGCCTTTTCGTCTTTTAATTACAGTTTTTGGGCCAAATAGACGTGGACCGCGCAGATGGCTTACAGGTTCTGAATGAGGCGGCAGGTCTCTTGAAGGTGGGAACCCGCAGCAGAGCTCTGAATCAGAGCACGATCTCCCTTGTTGAAACATTTCAAAAAGAACAAAATTATTTTAGACAAAAGCTTACAATAAAACGAACTGCTCTGGCATGCACTGACGGCACCCGCGCAGATGAAATGAGCTCCTATGTCAGTTATAGAACACGATCAGCATAGCTACAGGGAAACAGACAGGGGCACTGCTGTGAATAGAGCCTCCAGCCAACCCTGCAGTCTCCAGGCAAAGAATGAGCTAATTTTGCACACCAGGTCATCCAGTCTGTTTCACTGACAGGATTCAAATCTGCAGCATTCTCTCTCCAAACTCATTTACTGTGCTTTCCCAGATGTCTGACGGCACCAGTAAGATGAAATCCAAGCAGCAGAAGGTGTCCCTGTTTCTGTCATTAAATGGCATCGATGTCCTGAACCACAAAACGAAGGTATGGAACAAAGCGAGGGGGGAGAGTTCAAAATGCGACCAAGTTCTGCGAATGGTGTCAATCCATGTGTCATGTCTCTAAACTACCCTGTGTGTGCCCTGTGATGGACTGGTGTCCTGCCCAGGGTGTATCCCTCCTCGTGCACAGCTTCTGAATTAGGCTCCAGGTTTCCACGACCCTCATCGGGAATTATCCGCTTTCCATTTATGGATGCATGTTTTTTCCCTGTGTACTATATAAATGTGCCTAGCTTCATTTATGTCCTTCTAAGAACATAAGTGATTTCCCTTGTTTTATTTAGTATCCCCAGCAACACATGAGAAAAAGGTTACCTGTCTCAGCCCACAGTCCACCAAGAAACTCTTTCCGTCTGTCTACTGTGTGTCCAGTTCATGCTGCACAGCTGCCCCATGTCCTCCATCTCCTTCTGTGGCGTCCACCAGACCATGCCGAACCTCTTCGGCTTTGTGGCCAAGAGCCCTGCGGGCGATCGTCACCACTGCTACCTGTTCCAAAGCACCAAGTTTGTGAGTACAGCCTCCACTTCCCCAACCTGCACAGAAGACAGACGATTCAGATGTTACACTTTGTGTTCCCACTGTTCCCTCAAATCGCCCTTCAAACATGCAGAGCACATTTCCCGCACAACACCCTCTGCTCAACAACTCGAAAGCTCAGGCAACAAGATGGATTGAGAGCTGATCATTCTTCTGACCCTCCCTTGTCTCAGTCCCATCTCCTGGTGTCCATCATCGGAGACACCTTCCAAGCTGCAAAGGCCAATGAGAACTTTGGATGGGACAAGGACCTGCTTGTGGAAGCTCTGAGACACAAGGTATGTTGGGAAGACGCTATTGACATATGAGGAAGTCAATAGTTCTTTGGTGCCTTTATACACCTCTGCATTTTTTAAGGAAATGCGAGACTTGTGTACTAAACTCTGTCCCCTTCCACACTTGTTCCGCTTCTGCTATTGCTCATGGGAAGAGGGGTTACAGAGAAACATGCTTCAGCAGATGTTGAAATGCAGTCTATCAGAATGCATGAAGTACTGCTGGCAAAATCCATTCCTCGGGGGTCACACTCCACTCCAGTGGACTAGTGTAATTACTAAATTGAGATGTTTACCTTTACTGAGCTCACTTTCACATGTTATTAACTAGGGATTAATATAGGATACCAGATCTCGCCATGTCATTGCATGGAGTGCCGGCCATATCTGTATTCTAGTCAGGATGGGTTCAATTACACAGAGCTCGCATTACACATGAACCTGTGAGGCGGAGGACAGGAGAATGCCACTATATCCGGAGAAAAGCAGACAGCAGTAGTGTAAAGCTGCAGGCTGCTGTGAATACACTGCCTGGAGTGGTGACTGGACTGTCTAATATTGCCACACTGTTCTTCAGAATAAGATGCTGCAAAGTGAAAACGTCTCTCTGAAAAAGAAGATTGCCACCCTCGAGGCACAGGCAGCGTCCCAGCAGAGTCCGGCAACTGTGAGTTCCCTCTGAGCTAAAGGAACAGCTGGCAAGAAGGCTACTCTCCTCCTCCTGATTTCCTGCTTCTCGACTGTTAATTTAGGTGACTTACTAGAGCTGGCAGTGGGAAAGAATATGATTTTAAGGGAAAATCGACTCCAATTTACTTTTTTAAAGGCTAATACAGATTTAGGTGGGCGACTACAAGAGATTCCGGCAGCTATTCAGAAGCAGTGAATTTCAGTCAAAGGCACCAGTGTGTTTTGAGGTATTTTAAGGTAGATGGGAGTTGCCTCAAAAATCCTTGGCAAGAGACCCACTCTTGTCCTATAATCTCCCTCACCCTTAGTGCTCAGGACACTAAGTTGTACTAGAAAATTATGTGTGAACATGATGTCAGTCCAGGTGTGATGACTTCTCTTCTTAAACTTTTCATCACCTGCATTATTTTCCAAGGGGAATGTTATCATCAAAGACATTTTAAGAAAGCAGCACATCCATTTGCTAACGGGTCTGTTTATTGAAGCAATTTAATTATGCTTCTCTTAAAAATTAATAGCATCCCCTTTTGAGTCCTGAATGGATGAGTACTTAACTCTCTGATTTTGAAATTGTTTGCTCCGTTGCCATTTACCTTTCATTTGTGTGTTGAAAAGATGTGAAGCAGGAGTAAAGCAAAATCACACGAACTTACATCTGCCCAATTCTCTCCCACAGCAGTAAAACATCAGGGTGGGGATGACAAAGACACGCTGTGCTGAGGGCACACCATGCGGTCCTGATGAAAAACCAAGACAGAGAATCACGGTTTCCAAGCAGAAGTCTGACACTCTTTCCATTTCTGGACTCCTCTGTTCCCGGCCCCACGGCACTCTTATCATCAGAGAAGCTGCTCTGTTCCCCGTCTTTGGACAATTCCTCCAGGGCTTGTGATCTCCCTGTACTACTTTGCACATTCTAGCACAGCTACCCAGCGTAATATCCCCCCAGAGGCTCCTGCTACAGGTTTCTTTCCTTAAAACCCTTAACAATGTGTCAACCAGTCTACAAGTCTTCTAGCTTGGCTTTTCTTATTTGTGTAAAGGGGTTCTTCAGGCACAATTTTAAAGGGCCACATACAGTATGTGTCACATTTGTAGTCCCTCCCCCTTAAGGGCGCTCTGGCTCGTTCAGTTTTTTCGTTGATTTTGTGCACCTGCCCCCGGTTCCAGCCCACCTTTAACAGCCAGACGCTCGCTCTGTTCCGGGCTCTGTTGGAACCTCCGGAGGCTCGCCTACCACCGAGTCGCCCTATGTCCGAGCGTTTAAAGTTGTTTAAACTACAAACTACAATCACGTTAGCTCTCTCTGCCCTTTCCTTTATGCCTGTCTGGGAAAGGGTTTAATGGCATTTTTAGATCTTAAGAACACAAGTAGGTTTACAAACGAAAGGCCAATTACCCCACGTTATCTTGGCCTTAAGTGTAGTTAACTGATGCCTGTATCACGTCCAGATGTTTCTTGATAGAAGGCAGATTATCACCCTTGACAACACAGCTGGGTACCCTGTTTCTTGCGCCAACACCTCATTTAACTCATGAGCCTCCAGGTGTACACTGTGAACTCACTAAAGCCACTAACAACCAGATGAACTACTGTATACCTGCCAAATGGCCTCCTCTAATCTATAAACTTCCTTCTGCTCTTAAGTACACATGTGACTTTTTCCCCTTTATTAAATCCCTTTTTCATCAAATGATTTCTGTTACCCTATCCTTCATTTTTTATATTGTAAAAAATAATCCAAAACAATTGTAACCAGTTATGTCAACTGAGAACAAATTCTCTTTTAAAATTACAAAAGAAATGTTTATTTTGTCAATTCCAAAGTTTTGTGTAAACCTTTAAATTTATAGAGACCACTTGATTGTGCTCCCTTTGTCAGTGTCTTAGAGCAATTGTGTGTTGTCTCTTGTGTCTGGGCCGATCTCTGGTGCAAGGAATTTCGTTAGTTTGTACTATAATGATATATACTGTATATACAAAGTATTTTTAACACTTTAGTACTTTTAAATATTTCTCAATAGATATAAAATGTGTTATTAAATCTAGGCATGTGTGTGGTGCATGTAAGTCTCCAGTATGAGGATCTTCTTTTAGTGTAAGGCTTTTCAGTTTTATCAATGTGCAGGCACTGGAGCTACTAGTATGTGTAGTTTGCTCTGTGTAGTTCGCTATGGCAAGCTTTTGCAGTGTGTCTGATATACGACTGATGATTCAATATACACATAGTAAACCAGGCATCTCCAACCCCATTCCTGAAGAGCATCATTCCATCAGGTTTTACAGGTAACCACTAAATCATCACTTTCTAAAGTGACTAGCTGCAGGTGTTTTTAATGAAGTACACAAGTAATTCTTAGTAATCATAGTAGTAATTAGTAATTCTTGCATCTAACACTGGAAGCCCTCAAGAATCAGTCTCCTTAATTGAGCACCTGATTACCTGTATTATTGCAAAGGAACAAGTAAAGGTTTTTTCCCTGCTGAAAAGAGAAGAAAGGAAACACTTTTTCTTTATTTCGGCTCCACAGCTGAAACGTTGTGTTTCCTTTCTTCTCTTTTCAGCAGGGAATAAACCTTTTCTTGTTCCTTTGTAGCCTACGCATGCTGACGCAGCTCCCTACTAGAACTACCTGTGTTACTGAACAGTAAGAACAAAGTGCTCCAACTGTTTAGACATAAGTGACTCAGTGTGACATTAGTATAAGACTGGACTGTGATTCTCCCGATCCAGAGTCAGCAATACCTATAGCAGCAATACTCAGTTCTGTCCTGGGGTGCCCCCAACTCATTAGGTTCTGTAGGCCACTATTAAATCACCAGTTTCCAAAGATATTGAACACAACAATTCTGTTGTGATCAATTTAACAGGTGGATTGTTAAATTAAGATATTTAGCTATCATTCAGGATTAAAATCTAAGCCAAGGTTTTCAGTCTCAATTCCTGGAGGACCTAGTGTCTGATGATCTTAGTTCCAACCACATTCTCAATTAAACGGTTTAATTATTTAGTTAGCTCAATAACTGTAGGATGTCTAGCCATGCTCTGAGACAATTTAGTGACTGAATATACCTTTAATATCATGGCTGTGTTGTGTAACCAACTGTTAAAGGCTTTAAAGAAAAACACTATCTCTAATTTAGAAAATACTTAGATTAATTGTTTAATTGACTGCTCAGGTAAGAACACAATCCAGAAGATTAACTGATTTAAGACCTTTGATCTTACTACTCTTACTCAGCTCTCAAGGATCAGAGATCTCTTAATCGAACAGATTACTTGCTTGATTCATCAATAGCTCATTGGGCAGCCCATATTTAAAATGTGATCTGTGAGACTAACTGGATTGAGGCTCTCCAGGACCAGAGCTGGGGACCCCTCATGCCTATAGTGTACAAGGGCTTACAGAGCAGATGTTGAAACTTTGAATAAAACCTACAGCACTTGACTCCAGCTGCTGCTTTAAGTGATACAAACTACCAATAAATTATGGCATTTTGAACACTGACACTCTACAGAGCACGACCGTCATGTGCGCCCATGAGCTGCACCTTGCTAGACGCTGGAAGCGACACTGCCCCCTGGTGGACACCGTTAATTGCGGCCCCTTCCTTGAGCGGGTTTTACGACACGGCTGTTTGCAAATTGATTAAATAATTCAGGTGGGTAGCTGCGTCAGCATGCGAAGGTTGCAAAGGAACAATAGGTTTATTTATGGAAGCCCGTTTCCGCCAGGGAGTAAAAAAAAACGCGCTATGGTATATCTCGCAATTGCGACTTAGTATCACAGAATTCCGACTTTATGTCTCAGAATTGCGACTTAAAAACTCAGAATTCCGACTTAAAAACTCAGAACTCCGACTTTATATCTCCCACATTTATCTCACATTTGCGACTTCAAAATAACCCACATTTCATTGTCTGTCCTTTTGTTATTGTAACGGATTCGGGTTCTAGGGCCTGTGCCCTCGCCGCTCCCACCCTAGTTCGTGCCTCACTGCATTGGCTCGAACCCAGGTCTTGCCAGCTGAGCTAAAGAACACTTTCTTTAACCCCGGCGGCCAGCATCCCTGTTCTGCGCAGGGGAGGGCGGTGCTGTCACCACACTGCAACCAGATCGACCAACCTGTATGTCGGCCGGTCCGTTACACTATATTCATGAATCGTACAGGATCACAGGATCTATAGGCCTGAAGACTTGTCTTGTATAGTGCCCTGATAAAAATCAAATTAATTACACTATTTTTTATGGAATCCTATTTTCGCCAGTGAGGCTTCCATAGTACTCGGATGGAATAGTGGATGGTGGGCTTTTTAAAAAAGTTTTTAAACACCAGAAATACAAAAACGGAGACAGAATATGAAAAAAAGATACAGAAATAAGACACTTCACATCCAGAGGAATTCAAAGTTATAAAAGCTGAAATTTATATTTTTTACATATTTGCATTGTATGTCCTTTTTTTACTTAAAAAAAGATCTTCTTTAGCTCAGCTGGCAAGACCTGGGTTTGAGCCCTTGCAGTGAGGCCCGGACTAGGGTGGGAGCGGCGAGGGCACAGGCCCTAGAACCCGAATCCGTTACAGTAACAAAAGGACAGACAATGAAATGTGGGCTATTTCGAAGTTGCAATTCTGAGTTTTTAAGTCGGAATTCTGAGTTTTCAAGTCGTGATTCTGAGATCCCATGGCGCGGTTTTTTTTTACTCCCTGGCGGAAACGGGCTTCCATATTTATTCCTTGCTGAAAAGAGACGAAAGAAAACACAGTTTCGGCCGTGGAGCCTTCTTCAGGTGTGAACCTTCTCAACTGAAGAAGGCTCCACGGCCGAAACTTTTTGTTTTTTCTTCTATTTTCAGCATAGAATAAACCTATTCTTACTTGATTAAATAATATCCATTATCAGAACTAAAGTATAGCATTGATGTTTCACCGGGCAAAGTGCGACTGTAGCCGCTATAGCCCCAATAAATCCAGTCATAAACGAAGGAGAACTGTTGTTAATTTAAGTTGTTTCTACTGTCTAGCGTTGTAAACCGACGGTGAATAATAACAGTCGTATATCCCATAATTTTACAAGACGTCATACGCTGAAAGGCTGGTTGAAAGCGAAAAGCCATTCGCCATCAACGAATTAAACCCAACAGCTACTCGGTGTCCACACTTCATTACTAGGTTGGTCACCTTTTGAATCTGTTCATAAGAGTGTGATATCTTTCGGTACAACTTTGTAAAAGTTTTATAACTTCAAAATAGTCTGAAAATAATAGGAGGGTTTCATCGTTTGTGCTTGTCTGTGGGGGGCAACTTCACGGAGCTAGCAAAGACAGGTGTTGATCGAAACAAACGTCGTAAAATACCATTAAAAAAAAACGTGCCTGAGGTATAACTTGCAAAACACGTCTATTAAGCAAATGTAAATAAACTCTTGACTACTGCAATCTACAGTTTCCAACAGACACATTCGTCGCATAACAGGCGGTCAGTTAACCACAAAAAAAATGAGTCACCGGTTGTCTTGCAAGTCACGTTTTTATCTCACAAACGAACCGCCCATGAACAAAAAATGAGAACAGGGGCGGGCGTCTGAGTCAAAACATTTTTAGGTTTTCAAAGGTCGTTCATGCTTACACACGCACTGTACAGTACATCACCCGTCACACAGCCCGGCGCTCTGCAGAAGCCCTTCTCACGTGACAGGGGGGCTGAATTCGACCCCCCCCCCCCGCGTGTCTCCGGAAACGACGTTCAGGCTGGAATTTCTAGCGGCGCACAGGGCGAAAACAGCGGCTGCGGAACTGCGTTTCATGTGCTGTGGACTGCTCGCTGGTGGTACCTGCGAGGAGCAATAGGCCGAAGAGGAGTGGAGTAAAGGGGGATGCGAGGTCGGATCGTACCGGCTGACGGAGCAAAGCCGATCACAACAGTAGCGAGTCTTCGGTAGAGGTATGTTAGCTCTGCTCCGGAGAAGTACTGCTTATTTTTTCATTTACACTAGCCGTTGTCATCCGCAACGGTTTTTATTAGCAGGTAATTTTAAAAAAAAGGATGTTTGTTTTACTTAGAACAGTTTAAACTTGGCGATGGAAATAGTTCGTGTGTGGGTTTATCCTGCCATGGCGAAAGGACGCATTATTACGTGAGCAGTACAACATCTCGTCTTGTCGCTAACCTGGCTAGGCTTTGAGGTCTTTCATCAGAGGTGCAAGGAAAAAATGCGATCGCCGTGTATTACACGAACTCTTAACATGTGCACTGTACTAGACGAAAACATGTTTGCTTGATTTTTGGGTCCTTATTGGATTGCTAATGAAAGTTATCTAGTGTTTCGGAAGCTCTAGTACTTAATCCGCGATCACTCGAAGCGGCGACCGGTTGGGATTTTAGCTCCTGTCTTTATCTGCCGGGTTTAACTGCCAAGGCGCGGACAGGCAGAAGGAAACAAAAATTAAAGCGCCCGACACTTGTTTAGCGGTAAAAAACTGTAAAAAGTAACGGGGACAGTTTCGGTTGTGAAACTTGTTTTCTGGCAGCCCCGCACCTCAGGGCTTTGGGGGGACCGGTAGAGTTTCCGCCAGCAGCCGTCCCGGGCCGGAGCGGTGTGCCTGACGGCCGCTGTGTGCCTGTGTGTGTGTGTGTTGCCCTTCCAGCAGTCTGCATGGTCGCTCGGCCATGGGCGCCCACTGGTCGCACCGCAGCCGCGCCGCTGCTCTGACGGGGGGCAGGCGCAAGGGAAGGGAAGGCGGCGGCGGCGGCGGCGACGAAGACGACGACTCCCTGGACGGCCACGACAGGCAGGCGGACATCGCCCAGTTCCCCTACGTGGAGTTCACCGGGAGGGACAGCATCACCTGCCCCACCTGCCAGGGCACCGGCCGCATCCCCTCGGGTGAGCAGAGCCGGCGCGTTCCGGGCCGCTCTTGGGGGTCCAGACCTGTTGTTGCCCGGTCCCGTCCGACTGGTTTTGCAGATCCCATTCTCCGGCAACCTGCTCTGCCGGAATCCATCCAGCCCCCTCGTCCCTGTGCCCCCCTGACCTGAGCAGCCCACAGGTGTGAACAGTGGGATTAGCTGGTTTCTCCTTGGGGTGCAGGAGGAGCGAATGGCGGCTTTTAAGCAGCCTGGACTCACGGTTGCAAACGTATTTGAACCCAGGCTCTGCTTATCACAGCACCGCCTTTCAGATTGCACACCCAGCAGTGCTGGTGGAGCAGGCGCTACCCTGCCTTCTTCCAGAGCCCTCAGAGTCCCGATGGCCACAGGCATTCATTTATTTATTTTTTTACAGCAAACCAACCAGCAACCGACATAAGCGATAAAGTGTGGTTACACCTCATCGGCCGATTCTTTCTGTGTGTTTCACAACAGGATTGGTCCAAGTCCTTTCTCCCTGACTTAAAGTCTGCTTGTTTCAGTTCCTCTGTTATCTGATTGTGCGAGTTCTTGCAACTTTTTGCTGCACAGATAAAGCACAGGGGGGAGTGACAGGACTTGGCGAGCTCCTGCTGTGCAGTGTGTTGTTTTTTTTTTTCTTTAATTAGTGTATTGATCCAGCTGTGAGCGTGTGATCTCGCGATGCAGTTTTCACCACCCTGGTCGGAGGTCCAGGCAGGAGAGCTTTTAGCAGCGTCGCAGTTCATAGCATCAACCAACGGGCGTGAGAGGGGAGCTGCAGTCCCAATCTCTCAGACCAGATATTCAATATCTACAACAAAATGACTTCCCCGACGCTATAGAAAAATCGGACCTATTCTGAATCAAACACAAGATCGGGAACTTTGTGAAAGTACTGTGCGGTCGCCATTGCTGTGTGCAGTCCCCTGGTCTCACCACGAGCGAGAGCAGGAGTTCCCACTAATTGAGACGTGATGTGGCCCTTCCCGCTCACTAGTCACTGCGATGTGCGGGTTGGGCGGCAGGCATTTCACCACAGAAAAGTTCCAAAGTGATCTGCAGGCAGAGTTCACAAGTAGTAATTTGTCGCGAAACCATCTCGAAGTCGAGAGCAGTATTTCTATTGGATTAAGAGAGATGTCTCCACAAGCCTGCTTGTTTACAGTGTAACAGGGCCGCCTCACCTTGCTGGACGTTTGGCTGCCCCATTCTCAATCGTAGAACATGGCGCTGCGCAGACCTGGAACTTTTGTCTGTTTTGTGATGTAAATTGGCGGTTACTGTGTGCATTTCACTTTCATTGTGGTTCGAAATACGCTTGTCAATACTGATTCTTTCTAAACCCGGAATGTATAAGTAGCATTGCAGTTCCTCTTTAACTGCTCTTAATGGGTTCTCCAGGAAGTGCTGCTCCAGTAAATCTGGACTCGAGTGTTCGAGCTCCCCGATCACAGTGAGGAAGGCAGGTGCTGGTGTCGGAGGTTGCTTCGCCCGTCTCAGTGCTCTTTCTTGTCGTTGCTGTTTCACAGAGCAGGTGAACGAGCTGGTGGCCCTAATCCCCTACACAGACCGGAGGCTGCAGCCACAGAGAACGTAAGCCAATCCAGAGGGCTGTCAGCTGCTGCCCCACCAGGGCAGGCAGGTGGAATGTAATGTTAAGCAGTTATTTTGTAATTCTACAAAGGAACGAGTAATAGGTTTTTTCCATGCTGAAAAGAGAAGAGAGATAACGCAACGTTTCGGCTGTGAAGCCTCCTTCAGGTCTGAGCCATTTTTATTTCTGTATGGCTAAAAAAAACGAAATGGGAAAAGGTCCCCTGTCCTTTCCTCCTCGCCTGACTCTTGTCACTCCGTTAACTGACGCGTCGGATCTGTGACAGGCCATCAAAACCATCGAAGGCAGGATCGTAAATAGGAATCTGCATGGAAGAGAGTTTCTTTGAGGATGGGTTAATACAGCTGTGGCACAGCCCCAGGCATTTAAAGGAGCAGTCACAAACACACTGGTACCTGGATGCTGGAACTGGGGAATCGCGCAGGGCCTGATACAGAGGGTTGTGAAGACTGGGTTACAGTTGTGCTACTGATGCATTTGTGCCATAGGGCATAGATAGACTTTTTTTTGTTATTTTTTTAGAGGGGGTGGGGGGTCATTTCAACAGGACAGGCCTATGCGTAGGACCCTTCCAATTTTATTTTTATCCTTAACCCAAAGGGAGACGCTAGGGAGTCCAGAGAGAGCGGTGAAGGCCTCCTTGACTCGCGTCACATGGTTTCCCCTGTGTCTGCCTGCCTCCGCAGGAAGCTGTATGTGGTTCTCTCTGTGGTGGGCTGCTTCCTGGTCTCCTGCCTGGTGGCATTCTTCCTCTTCCCCCGCTCGGTGGTGGTGAGCGACGATGGCATCAAGGAAGTGACGGTGTACTTCGACCGTAACCACAGCAAGATCCTGATGAAGATGATGGTACGCTGTCCTGTGGTTGGTAACGTGTCAGGGAGTCGGGTTACAGCAGGGGGCTCTGGTCCTGGAGAGCCCCAGGCCAGCATGTCTCATAGGCCCCTTTGTAAGTCCTTGCTCAATTAAACTGTGTGCTTAATTAAGGGATCTCTGGCCCTTTTGCAGTTAATCTCTAAATTACCAGGCTCAGCAGGTCATCTGCAGCTGATGACAGTTCAGTTGTTCCCCATCTTTAGAAACTGGTGATCTAATGGTGACCAAAAAAGCTGCTGGACTGGGGCTCCTTATCATGCAGGGTGGAGGACATGCCTGAATTGCACTGTTTGCGGATCCGTCCTGGTGCATTGTAGGCGTAGCTGCTCTGCGTGATTAAAATGCACGAGCTGGTTATCGGAGGCAGTCCTTGACCATTCACCGGCGCGCAGGGGTTTCAGAAGCGGACAGTTCTGCGTCGCAGTTCCTCAGAGACAGCCCTGGTCGCTGCGGAGGAGAACAGGGAGCTGGAGATGCGCAGCTCGATGCTTGCAGCAGAACCCTGGCCACGGGCTGTGCTCCAGCCGTGACCTCTGTCAAACAGCTTCAGTCTACAAGAAAATGCAGTACGGAAGTCTACAGTCAGGGCTAGGAAAGGTAGACTAAATAAAGAATTTATCGCAGGCGTGCACAGACGCGGGACAGATACAGACAACAGGTGCCTTCCTGGAGGGGCTCTGACACCAGGTTGTGGGCGAGGAAGGGGGGGGGGGGTGGGGGAGGTGGATACATTGTTTTTCCTTAAGCGGCTCTTCTCTCGGGTTGGGAAAGCGGGTCGTAAAATTCTCCCGTCCTGTGTTCCAGAGCACTCTCAACTTCAGCAATTCCAACTTCTTCACGGTGTCGGTGGACGCCGTGAGCAGCCAGGTGCTGTACATGAAGACGGTGATCGGGACCCAGCAGATGGACCACGTGCTGCAAATTCAGCCCCTCAGCCAGAGACAGGTATCGCCGCGCCCGGCGTGCCCAATGCCCGAGATACAAACCTCAGCGGAGGAATGACCAACCCCCGCTGTATATAACGCAGTTTAAATAGGAGCCATACACGTCAGCTGATTCCACAGGAATTGAAACCAGGTCAGTCCGTGAAACGTTTCTGTGGCAGTGAATGGCTCGTCTCCAACCTACAGGAGAACTGAGCATCATCCTTCCGTCCCAGTCCCAGCACAGCAAATACGTGAGTGCTGGAAGGGTAGGCCTGCCTAGACAAGCATGTGGAAATTCTCACCACAGTCCATCTGAAACAAGGGGCACTCGAACACACGCTAGCTGAAGAGTAGGCTCTGAAACTTGGCAGTGCCGTGTCTTCTTGAATTAACAAACTTTGTATGCATTGCAGGTGAACTTTACTGTAAATATGGAGATCAGTGGCAGTCTCTCATACGTCTAGTAAGTAAACATGGTTTGTCTTCTATTTTGAGATTCAAGATTCTTGGTTTAATGCATGGGAGGTTGCACTGATTTGCTGATTTTTCAGGTAACTGAGCAAACAGGTAATTTCTGCATTGTGAGAAAATAACAAGCAGACGCTTCACCACTGTTCCTAACCACTCAGGACATCCTGTTACAGAAGAAAGCGAGAGTCGCCTTGGTTATCTGCGGATAATCGGTTAGGAAGTAACTGGTTGACCTTTATTGTGACTTTTTTTAATTTCAGAAAGAGAATAGCAAAGGCAGGAGAGGACCTGCAAACCTTACTTAACAGCTGATCACAGTAGTATGTAAACAATCTGGGACAATGCCAGGCTCCTGAACTATTTTATTCCTGAAATTTGGATTTGATGTATCAGGCAGGATCAGTCAAGGGTTACAGCCATGAAAGAAATCTTCAAACAAAAAAACTTGTTCAAAAACGTTTTCCTCTCATCCTGTCAGCCGTCTCTGGGCTAGCTGTTAAGATCTTGAAACCTGCCTGTCATCATGCCTCATCAGTTGTTAGAGTGACGCCGGCGTTGCACCCAAGTTTCGTTTCGTTTCCCCACGCAGATCTGAACGCGATTGCTTCTGCACACTTCAGCAGTGCGGCACTTCTACAAAACAGGCAGAGAGAGATGCAGTGGAGCCCGAGCGCCCACCTCAGAGAGTGCGAGGAGAGCTTAGGGAGAGCCGATTTCAGCAGCAGGGTTTCTGACCGAGCTGTCACCTTTCCTTGCAGCACGTTCTGCACCATGGAGAGCATCAAAGTCCACAACATCGTGGTGTTTGTGCAGTAAGTCCGCCTCCTCTTCCCTCTCGCTCTGAAATGTCTGTGCTGCCCTGCCTTGCTCATGTTGCTTGCCAGGATAGGTTTCCGGCTCCCTCGTGACCCTGAATTGGAAGAAGCAGTTAGTAAATGGGCCACGCTTTAGCCCCTTCTGTCAGAGGAAAGTTTTCCAAAGAGGGATACATGTACTGCAGTCAGTTTACATAACCTGGAAGTTTTAATTTGTTCTCTCATTAATCTGTACCATACAGATTGGATCTTTAATTACCTGCCTGTTGCTACTTGCTACAAAGCAATCCTCACAAACAAACCCCCAGGATGTTTTTTTTTTAATAAGACCAGGATTGAACTGGATGTGATGCATGTAAAGTCTGAATTACATGTCTTACATTGGCTGTGAGAGTCTGAGCTTTTGCTTTATGGCTCTTATATAAAAGATGCAGCACTACACCCTTAATAGTGCCATTTATTCAGGACCGTCTGAACAATTTGTTCTACCGCTGTCTTTCAGCAAATCTGCGATCAGGCTGTTTGCTCGCCTTGAAGAGAAATAATTAAAAATGAGGTTGTGATCAGACCCATGCAATTCTGCCAGAACACTTTGGTATACCAGCACAGTCAGCTTCAGGGGTTGTTCTATAATTCTCGAGCATGTTTCCAGATGTCTAAATATGGAGTTGCAGGCGTCTCTTGGGCACCTCCGTACAGTGGCTCATGGGTCGGCATGTGGCAGTGGCTCCGGTCCCAGGTCCTCTGGTCCTGTCTGGTTCTGCAGGGGTCCACGGACCTGAAACAGGAGTGGGAAACCCCACCTGCCTCTCGCTACAGTCTGGCTCTCACCACCCCAGGGAGCATACCCGAAACCTGTCGTCCAAAACTCGGGTGTCAGGGTGCGGACTTGGCCAAATGAGCCCCAGCTGTTTGAGGGTCACTCGTGCACTGGCCAGCGAAGGGCCGACAGTGTGAAGCGGGCTGTGGTGACCGGTGCCCGGCTGAATCTCTCTCTCCCTCTCTCTTCGCAGGACCTCGGTGAAAACCTCCTACATGGCCCGCGCTGCGCAGAACACGCTGGAGGCCTACCGCTACATCGACTGCGGCAGCAACTCCACGGTGCAGCGCAGACCCCCCCTGTCCGGGTAGCCCTCTCCTCCCGCTCCCCGCGCTCCACACCGCAGGTTCCCGGATTTATCTCTTTATTTTCCAGAGGGCTGCTCTTCTATTTTTTTTTTAACGGAGGCCAAACAGGAAGGGACACAAACCGAACGGGGAGAGACGCCGCGGGAGGCGAGCGCGGGCCGGGCCACGCGGCTGCGCGGACGGGCCCGAGCGCGGGTGTGGAGGGGCCGGGGGAGTGGTGGTGGTGGTGGTCTTGGTTTTTATTGGCTGCTTTTGCGAGTGCAGAAGGGAGGATATTGCACGCGGCCGAAGCAGGGCGTCCGAGAGAGCAGAGAGGTTCTGCTGCCCGCGGCGCGGCGGCAGGGAGGGATCAGGTCCAGTAGGAGGCTGCGGCCACGTGGTGTTAATGCACCACAGCGTCTGATCGCGACAGGAGGGCAGCCCGGTCCTGCCCTGGTGCCCCCTTGATTGTAGCCAGTGAGTTCACCAGTCACACTGGACTGGGCAGCAGGCTGCCTGGGATAGCCTCGGCTGTGGTGTGGGGGCGCCGGCCGACTGGTGGCTTTCAGCACCAAGCCAGTTATTGGGCCTTGGCGTCTTCTAAATTCCTAATCTCGGTCTGAGCGGAGCACTTTAAACTTCACGGATTACTTGGCACTTATTTTTTTCATTATAAAAAAAAGACATGAATGGGTTCAGAAATCCCACCATCTAAGCACAGGTCTTGTATTCCGTTCCAAGGAGGGCCCAGTGCCTTCAGGTTTGTGCGAAACCAAAACCCGGTTACAGAGTTGGTCTCATTATTTGCAGTATCTGCAGAATTGTGGCACTTCTCATCGGGCTCAGACGCGGAGTGGATGTCTCATGTCATTACCCGCTGAAGAGATTAAGAAAAATCCCAATTTGGAAGATATTTAGCTTAATCAAGTATTTGGGTTGCAACCAAAAATGTAAGAGAAGGCCCTCCTGGAGCTAGTGTTTTAGATGACACTCTCAGTGCACGTTAATATGGGATGAAAGCCCGCACGCATGTCCCACTGTCCTGGAATGAGCTCTGGATGCAGAAACCCCGACCCACCTGTCTGCAGTGCATCTCATGTCTTTTAACAGAAGGCTGTGTCAGCTGCCAGGCATAACGGAGCCTGATCTAGGACTCGCAGACTTTTGTTTTTCATTATTTGAATAGATTTCTTTGCCAGTCAAAGACAAAAAATATATTTAGTAGGAATTGCCTGTTTATATTTATCTTTATCAGCTTCATTTTTATTTTCTTTCTAATGGTGCTCAGGAATTGAGGGTTTTGTTCCTGGTGTTATAATTTGGGGACTGCGAAATGTTTGTTGTTTTTTAAATTTGCTTTTCAGTGCTAAAGGTTTCAGGTTTGCACCTTCTAGATGTGGAGGGAAAGGTATTTTCCTGGCAGGATTCGGTGTCTTTGCAATAAAAGGGAAGAGGACATTTATTACTTAATGCACCACTGAGGTGATTTCAGATTGGTAAAAAGATCTGTGGCCTGTCTGCTTTAGAGCACAGATGGCCCCTCAGGGGCTGCATGTCTTCTGGTTTTAATTCTGGATGTTGCTAATGTTAATAATGCAGAACTTTTCAAATTTGCTAATGGGAAAACATCAGTAAAATAAAACCAGAAGGACTGGACTTACCCTTCTCTCTGGTCTAGAGCTGCCAGGCATTTACAGTGTCGCAGACTCATCAGGAGCGAAAGGCACGGAGCCCAGTTACCTGTCAGGCCCTGTTGGGTGTCAGGTGGGCTCCTCTGCTTTTCTCTGTTCAGTTTAGAACTAAAAAAAGAGCCATTTTGATTATTAGCACTACTGTTTGAAGCACTCAACTGCGGCTCTCGGTGATATTGAGGAAGGCCTGAGATTTGACAGGCTGGGCCTGTGGCCCAACTCCTGCGGTCACTTGCGGACCGTTCTTGCTCCGTGGGCTGCCTGGGCTCACTGCCCAGCCACGTAACTGAACAAGCCCGGAGCGTACAGATGGACTCGGGCAACTTTTCGCCTCCTGGAGGCGCAGGGCCCTGCCACAGCCCAGGCCCCAACAGCGACTCGCAGACAAAGGCAGCGCCAAGCTGTCAGGGTCCCATGAGCCCTCTGTTACTACGCCAAGCCAGTTCTTTAGATGAGTGGACGGATTGAATGGTCTTCTTCCCAGGCCTTCAGCCACTTGAGGTGAAGTTAATCTCGTCTGCTTGTTAGGGTATCAACAAGGAAAAAGATGCTCTTGAGTGCTTTGTGATGCTTTTGGGCACTGCAACTTCAGTTAGAAATTTCTTTTAAAACTTCGTCGTGCCCAATCGTCTGAGGGAAGGGAGAGGCTGAAGGTGGAGTACGAACCCCAGGACTGCGGTGAAACTCCTGGCGTTCTGCAGGAGGCACCTGCTGGGCTGCACGCTGTAAGAGGCTCGCTTTTCTTCCAGCCCTGGTATTGATCCCTGGGCATAAACTACTGAGCTTAACGTTAATTTGAGAATGGGCATTCATTTCTTTCTTAACTTGATAGGCTGTTTGCTGTAAGGGTTTGAAAGAATTTGCTGCTAAAAGTTCATGCTTGGATGTTTATAAGTTTGCTCTAAATAAAGAGGATTCTTTTCTGTCCTTCTTGGGTGTGTTTTGGTTTTCTGCATTTTGCATGCTTGAGAAGTAATGTGCAGTTGGTCTGGCTGGAGGCTAAGGCAGTGATTAAGTCAGACACAGGGCCCTGTATAATTGGACAACTGCATAGTTGGACAATCCTGGCCTATGATATATAGTTAGTAATTTAAATTGGTGGTTATTATAGTAATGGAGAGTTTATATTCTATTTCTAAACTGGCTTAAGTGTCAAAAATTCAAAACATCAGTATACAAGTCTGGGGTCAGCTGTTTCAGTTGGCCATAATGAACAAAACTATCACCCATTATCTGAGTTTGATGCTTTATAAATATGCCTGCACTATTACCAAGTATTGAAAGGGATTTCCCTGCTGTAGTGGGAACTTGATCAGATTTACTCAGTCATATTACGTGCCTCCTTTGTTTAATGATAATGCATTCTTCTTTGTAAGCTCTTTTAAAAAAACAACCCTCAAAGCTCTGATCAACAGCACACGCCTAATACAGAATAAAAGAGTAGTGATGACTTAGTGTTACAAACAATGCTTATCCCATCTTCTCCCATAGCAGGGGTGAAAACATTTATTTTTCTGTTAATCATGTGTGTCATCGAAGACATTCACGGTCTAATAGTTCTAGTTTCAGGCATTCTTACGCTGGTTCTCAAAGGGTCTGGGGACCTCAAACATACACCCCCAAAATGTTTTGCTAAAATTAAGAGGAGTGTTTTCTTGTTTCCAAAATTGTTTTAAATGCTGCATTATCAAAGTGATTGTTTTGAGCTGCTGATGACAATATAAACCAGGAAAATAGGGGTCCCTGACCAGGAAGCCTTTGTTAAACGTCAGACCCTCTGATCAATAAAATGACAATGCAATGAAACACAGTCCACTGTCATCTACTTTCAAACTCCAGCAGGGGCCAGCCGAACTCCTGCTGTTCCAGTCCACTCCAGACCTGCCCCTGTGTGATTGTTTGACCGGATTCTTAGGGTAGTTAACCTGACCTGACCCTGCAGCGGCAGCAGAAGCAGCTCTCTGGAGCAGTCCTCCAGTGTGTGAGAGAACTGGATCACTGGCTGTACTCTGCCTGGCACCCCCAGTCACCCCTGTTCCAGGCCCTTGGGTGCTTAAAGAGTAAAAGAGCGGTAGTTCAGCTTTTACAGGAACTTCAGCACTGGCTGCTCAAGATTCGAACCTCTGCCTCATCAAAGGAATGATGAGATATTTGAATCTCCTGATAGTCTTTAATATCTGCCTGCAGAAAAGGAAGTTCATTTTCTTTATATCAGCCCATGATAGACATTCACCAACATAACCCAAGTTCTTGAACCTGGGACCCTGCTCCGCTAGATACTGACAGACACCACCTGGGCTTGTGCAGCAAGAACCAGGGACTGAAATAAACCCCTTTTTTGTGCCTTTTTTAAAATCATTTGTTTTTATTCGTGGTAGTTTTCCTTTAAACTTCTCTCCTGTTTCCTTCATTGAATTATTCCCCGGTCAAGAGAAACATCAAGCAAAAGTTACATCGTAGGTGGGAAACAAATACAGAAAAAGTCATTTTAAAAACAAGAAACAAACGTGGCTCTTTTTTGTTTAGAGAAAAGCGTCTGCCGTTTATTGCTAACGAGGAAGGCTGAAGGGGTGGAAAGGGAAGGTCAGTCCAAGAGTACAGGGTGACAATTCACAAGACTTTTGTCGGTCATTGGCAACGGTATCAAGCGCTACTCTACCATGCTTCGAACCAGTATTGCAAATACTTAAAAACATCTATTTTACATATACAAAAACAGTTACAGGATTTCATGTTCCGCTTGACTGACTCATCTTTCATATTCTGTTTTTCCCACCCAACAACAAAAACATCACCTCCCAGAAACGCACCATCTCCCTCCGAGAACGCTCTACTCCCTCTCTCCCGCTGAACACAAAAACTGGGACGCTAGCACATGGCACAGACGTCAGAGTCTTCCTCCCTCTCGCTCGGGGTGGGGGGAGAGAAAGACAAAAATGGTCTTGCAAAAAAAAATAAGGCCAGCTGTCCCATACGCAGGCCATTCTAGGGAACGTTGGAACTTAAAAGAGTCAAAAAAAAAAAAAGACTTTGTTGTAATTTTTTTTTATTTCCAATTTACATTAATTAATCCGTAACAACAACAAAATAAAATCAAAATTACACACACACTCTCACGCGACTCCCGCCCACCCTGGTCCATGGGCTTCCCTTGGTTTAAGAGTGATTGTCTGAGAGGGCCCCTGGGTTCGAACCCAACTTTCTCCCTGGTTCCTAGAGTCTCTCTGCCATGCCAGGGTGAGGGTGGGTGAGGGGGAGGGGTGGGTAGGGGGGTGGCAGATAGAACGAATAGCACCTTCTGAAGATGGGGGCCAAAGCGATTTACACCCCACCAAGCACCAGATTCACCCATGCTGGTCAGCTTAGCATCTGCTTCAAGGTTCGTTTTGTTTTGGTTTTTTTTTTTTTGTTTTTTTTAGCGTGAGGTAGCTTAAAATAAAAAAAAAATCAGCATCTTCATAATTCAAACAAAGTTCTACCGGGGTCGTTCCAATTTAGGATATTATCTCCATTACAAGCGTAACTGAAAAGAATTGGAGAAGTAAGGGCGGTTGAGAGGCTTAAGGCACTGAGAAACAAAAAAAAAAATATAAAGCCCAGATCAAAAAGTACTTTCCAAAAAGTTTTTTATATATATATAAACCGTTGTTAAAAAATACAGACTGTTTTACATCAATAGCACCATTATTTTATTATAATACACAGTAATTCTTCAGATACACACTGTGATGGTATTTGTAGTAGGAACACCTGCACTTACATCCTTCGTAACACTTTTTTGGGGGGGGGGCAGGGGACGACTGACACAGGGACTCGTCGTTTAAGTGGGGGGAGGGGGCAACGCCATTTCATAAACACACCTTGGACCCCAAAGATCTTACAAGAAGACAATAAATAAATAACACCACATTTTTTTTGTTTTTTTTTTGCGCTTTGTTCCTTCTTCATCCTCGTTCTCATTCCTTCTTCATCAGGCGGTCTGCCCGCTGGCCCTGGTCTTGGGGTGGGGGGCGGGGGGGTCCGAGACGCATGAGTGTGGATGGCGGGCTGGACGGGGGGACAGTGGAGTCGGTCGGTGCCATTCAGTGCAGAGATCCTAGGAGCGACTGGAAAGTAGTTTTAAAAGTCCGTTTCAAAAATAATAAAAAAAAAGACTGGTTTTTGATTTCTTCTTTTTTTCTTCTTCTCGAGTGTGTGTTTTGTTTCTTAATTGAGTTACTTTATCTTTTTTCTTTTTACAAGAAGCAGACTGGACCGATGTCAACTCCAAATTCTTGGTCTGCTCCTCCTATATCAAAGGGCGCAACGTCCACAATGGGCAGCCGAGACGTCTTCTGTGATTTGTACTCGATTACGGCTTGGCCCCATCGTCCGGTGTGCTTCTGCAGGAGAGAAAAGGAGAGACCAGGCCTGTGAGAGGAGCTTCCATGGGCCTCAAGTGTGCGGAGAATTAGACACACCAATCCTACAGCTCTGATCTGCGCGCTCACTAGGCCCTGATAAAGTCGGGCACGGTAGTCTACAAACGTCTCTTTGAGACTGAAAGGCAATCAATTCCTCAGCCTCATCTGGCTCAGTGCTAATCCAGGTCAGGGGCATGTCTTTTCCAGCATTCCCTCCACCTCATCGTCACCCTTGCCTCATTCCACCTCTGGGGGGGTGAAACGGGGGTCCCCTATATCCTCATTCGCATGGCCAGTTTGCCGTGGCGAACTTCCTACTTGCAACACGGCTGCACTGTACTTTTATCATTTTACTCTGAGTATCCCCCGCCCCCTCCCCATTCCAAAGAGTCACGAGACTCGCTGACAGAAGGCAAACGAAGGCGGACCAATTCTCCCTGCAACGATACTTTGGAAAAATGTTCCCATAGCCACATACTGCATTTCCCCTGGTCTTTCTCACCTTTGGATTTATATTATAGCAAAAATGGTTATAACGGTGCTGTGCATTTTTCAAAAGCATTCAGATGCATCTTTACACCAGCCACAACTCTGAGCGGCACTGCTGGACAAAACACCATTCCACTTTCAAAGATTGGGTCACCCCCATCCCTACAAACTGAAGGAATACGCAGTCTCTAAAAACTGAATGAAAAATATCATTATCGTGTTCCCCTAATCTTTCTTCTAAAACCGTCAAGGCAAGATAAGGAGGTGTTTGTGCCTGCTCCCTTTTGTGCTTGTGACTCTTCCCTAATATATCTCCTTGCTCAAGGTGTTTCAGTTTGGCAGGGCTCTGTATGCATCATTCCAATGGGCCGCAGGGCACGTGCCCCCTGGCCCTGTCCTGCCCTGTGGCACCCGTGTTTGCGCGAGCCTCACCGTGCAGCCGTCCTCCAGCACACTGTACGTGAAGCGGCTGTTGCCCTCGGCTCTGATCTCCACGTCGTTGGAGCCCTGCAGCAGGATGGCCTTCTTCAGGTTGCCGCTGCTGTGGTCCATGTAGGCGATGCTGTTCTTGCAGTGGTAGGTGATGTTCTGGGAGGCCTCGGTGGACAGCAGCCTCAGGAAGGTCATCTGGATGCTGGCCGTGTTGGGCGCCAGGCTGTCGTCACCATAGCTGAACTGCAGGGGGAGACAGAGAGCAGGTCAAGAGCAGGCTGAGACTGACAGCTGCTGCCTTTATAATCCCTGTAAGGGACATAAAGCACTACACTTTTATACTACACTCTGTAACAAATTGCTTTTAGCCTGACCTGCTTATGAAACACACAGAATTTTGACAACCTTTGCACCATTTTGCAAGGTGGCACAGCACAGGAGACTTCAGGGTCAAAACCTTCTTCTGCCGAAAGGCTTTTACTTAAAAGAGTAATCCTGTTTTTACTTAGAGGAATCTAAGGACTCAAAGGGCCCCGGATAGTTCCTCGGTGGATAAGAAGTGTGTCCTAGAAGACTCACGTGGAATCCTCCGTTCATGGTGGCTCCGAACCAGACGTGCTTGCGGTCTTTGCTCTTGCTGGACCACCAGTGCTTGCGCGGGATGCTGGACGGGTTGGGGTAGACGCAGGTCTCTCCAGTCTCCATGTTGCAGAAGACCTTGATGGCGTCGATGGTGCAGCCCTGGTTGGGATCGATCCAGTAGTCTCCTACGGGAGAGGAAGAGGAGGCCCGGGTCAGCTTTCATCCGCCCTTGGTGGGGGACAGCGCAGAGCACAAGGGGGGATGCTACGGACTAGAACGAGGGCTTCCGCTGCTCATCAGTACCCTGCCTGGGGAACGCCGGGATCTCGCGATACGTTAACACGTTGTGCGTGCAAACAGCATGGCCCATCAGCGCAGGTGACGTGCGCTACATTGCCTGATTCAGCCCCCCCCGAACAGAAACCAGATTCTCATTTCGAAGGAGTCTGACCCAATGCAGGTTTTCATCAATACGTCATTCTTCACATAATGTTTGCATGCTCTGACAAGGGACAAAAAACAGAAAGTTTCTGTTTTCATGCATGGGTTTTGTTCATCGACTTGCACAGAGTAAAACCTGACATGGATCACTCTGCTGTGGGAGGGGCCTCCTGGAACCCAGAGCTCCAGGTCCGCCCCACAGTGCAATCCACGTCAGGCTGTACACCATGCTGGAGCAGTGGGTGATGCGAGGGTCCCCCCCGTCTCTTACCGCTCTTCCAGTCAGGGTGGCACAGTTTGAGGTCCCTGCAGGTGCGGGCGGGGTTCTTCTTGGAGCCCTCGGGGCTGCGGATGCTCTCGATCTGGTTGTTGAGGGACTTGAGGGTGGCGTCGACCTCGGCATCGTGCTGCCTCAGGGAGGAGGAGGCCTGGTCGGCCCTCATGTAGCGCAGGGGATCCGGGGCCTTCTCGGGCGCGCCCAGGCCGGCGAAGGCCGACATGTCAATCCCTGGACCAGGGGGGCCGGGAGGACCGGGAGGACCAGGGTTACCAGGAGGACCCTGGGAGACGAAAGCAGGACAGGGAGGACATTACGCACTGGGACGCCACCTGCGCCACCTTCCTTTGTTCTTTTACTTGTAGCAGCGTCCAGTCATTTTAACTGCTGGATTGACGTGCTTTTCTCAGACCAGAACTGCTTCTGGTTTCTTCGGCGTCGTTTAAGCATGTGTTTGTGGCAAACAGGCAGAAGCCATTTGGCCCACCTGAGTTTTAGGGGATAATAACTTGATTCTAGGATGTCATCCAGTTATTTGGAAGACAGTATCTTTATGCGATGATACCAGAATGAAAGCTTTGACAACATGGCTGGCTAGCTTGTTCCAGACTCCCACAAGCCTCTGTGTTCTCAGTGTTCAAAGCACTGCTCTACAAGGTGGCCCCTGTGGGATCTTGAGGTGTGGGTGGCTTCTCAGCCGTACTTACAGCAGGACCAGTCTCGCCAGATCGTCCACGAGGTCCTGGAGGTCCAATGGGTCCAGGCAGGCCGTTGGAACCATCCTTTCCATGGGGACCAACGGGGCCAGGGGGTCCCTACACAAAGCAGAGCAGACAAAGGGTTAACACAGCACTGCTTGCCTGACAGCACTGGTCTGAGAGATCCACCCTCGGGCGAGGTGAAGGGACTCTCTCTCGTTACAGTGACCTTCCAGTTCATTCCGGTGGATGTCTTCAACTCAATCGAAGAATAATAACTACAGCGAGCGAGCTGTAAGGAAGGTCCTACACAGCAGGTTCATAAGTCATTAACTGGCAGAGGCATGGCTCTTGCCTACAGTGACCAGAGTGAGCCATTCTTTGCTCAACAGTTGCCAAGACAAGGTGCAGGGGCACAGTCGAGCACATGACACTGCACAGCTGCCTGGGGAATCAAAGGACGACTCTGTCACTGCTAGAGTGTCTGCCCAGCCGACTGTGGGTCTACATTGATGGCCACAAGAGGGAATTCAATCAGCCTGTAGTTATCGGTTCTGCCTGTCTTGCCAGTTCTGAGCAGAGGCAGCTCTGCTGCTACCAAGTGTTCTCTCTTCGTGTCAGTGCCAGGGACTTGCAGGATGAGCTCTGCTTTAACAAGTTACCGATATAAATTCCAGCTGATACCACCAAAGAAATAAGGACAGAAAGACACTTCCTGCAGCCTCTTTCGGATAGTCCCAGACAGATCCTGCATATTTGTTCCTCCAATTCTTCAATTTTGGGCCAAAATGAACAATGTAGAGAAGAATTACAAATTCTTATCAGCGCAGTCTCGTAGGCCAAGAACATGCATGTTTACCAATTTAGGCGCTCCTGCACCTGAGCTGGGTTAAATGTAAATTTGGTCGGTTTTAGAATGGTTTTCATCTGACAACAAACATAAGCTAAAGTTTTGGTTTAAAAACAAACGTTACATAATACATATCATTCTCACATCCTAGCAACTCCTGCCCAATGAAAATGATCACAGGATCAATTTAGGCTGGAATCACTGGTATAATAATGTACTGTAGTAAAGCTGGGCAGATGCACAGAGAACTCCTGAAAGAGGAGGCGCTCAGTCAGGCGTTATACAGGAAGGAAGGCAGTGCTTCAACACTTGGAAGACTGGGATATCGGCTGGACCGTCCCAGCTGGACACTCACTCGACTTCCGGATGGACCAGCAGGACCAGTGGCTCCCTGATCTCCAGCGGGACCCTGCGAGGACAGAGAACACCACATTATCGCACTTTCCAGAAAAAGACCCAAACAAGACACTACTATCTGAGGAGGGCTGGGCTTACCAGTGACACTGAAAGACAAACAATATAATAATATAATCACTGAAACAGTTCCAGGCATGAAATACTTCAATTTGTTTTTAGCATCCGCAAGAACTTTGTGCTTAATTGTGTAACTTTTTACACATGATAAGTGCCCTTTATAGTTTGATTCTGAAGTGCGTTGAATTAAAAAAGCACTTCCACACAGGTAGGCCTGGGTGTACTTCTCAGGCAGTGGCTTTCCAATGAGGGTGGGGTGACTTCTGACCCCGGCGCTGCGCTCTGAAGGTGCCCCACACCACTGTCCTGCCCATTTGGCCAACAGTCCCTCCAGTCCGGAACAGCCCCTTTCCCAGGTTGGGTGAGGAAGGTGGAAAACACTCACGGGAGGTCCGGGCAGACCCTGCAGTCCGGTGAAGCCGCGATGACCCTTCTGACCTCTCTCACCAGCTTCGCCTGCCTCGCCCTTGTCCCCGCGTGGCCCTTGGGGTCCCTGTGAAGAGGACGCAGTGGCTCGGTATGAGTCCCTGGAAACGGCGCCTGGCCGGATCACAGACCTATCCTCTCCTCCGGTGAGTTCAGCTCGGGAGCTTTGGATTTGAAGTCACATGACTTGGGTTTCGGGAGAACGGCTGTAAAGCCCTGCAGAAGCGCACTGGCCAATTTGTGGCGATTCCTGGCCGGATCTGGACGTGCACAGAGTCGGGATGATGAAAAGCTTGCCGCCTTACTAAACTGATAATGATAATGTTTTTTTCTTTACTAGCCTATACAATTTCTTGCATTAGGAATTTGTCTTTTCCCCTACCCCAGCTTTTCTCCATAGACACAGACACACAGGCAGGGAGAGAAGCTTGGGGTCAGAGCGCAGGGTCAGCCATTGTACAGCGCCCCTGGAGCAGTTTGGGGTTAAGGGCCTTGCTCAGGGGCCCAACGGAGTAGGATTCCTCTGCCGGCCGCGGGATTTGAACCGGCAACCTTCCAGCCACAGGGGCAGATCCTCAGCCACAGAGCCACCACTCCGGACAGCCGCATCCTGCGGATTCGAAACCCTGCGACACGTGTGTGAAATCCCGCAGGAGCGCTAATGGAGGAGACCCTGGAAGGGGATGGATGAAGCTTTGTGACACAGCCTGACTGTTTTTAGTTCGCCAGGAACACAAGCGGCCTCAGACTCGCAGCAGCACAGTGGCCTGCTGCTAATTAAAAGGAGACCGACCGGGGGGGCCATCAGTGTTTTTGGGCAAGTGTCCGGGAACTGAGAACTCACAGGCATTCCTCTGGCACCAGCAGGTCCGGGGGGCCCGGAGGGTCCTTGGGCGCCCTGCAGGGGAACAGGAAGGACAGCAGCAGCTCAGAACAATCGCTCTCGACAGCAGGCCTCAGCCTGAGCTGGCACGGCACGACTTTCCGAGCTCTCAACCAGGATCCAGGACTGCAACACTACTAATGCGATAGGAATTCTACTGTAGATCTTTTTAAATCTTTTTCCAGTTATTTCGCTGGCATTTTATACAGAAATACTACCATGCATCACAATTACTCACTGCGGTTTGTAACAATTATGTTTCAGTTGCTTAAACTGTACAGATGACTTAATATAGAAATATTATACAGTAACAGCAACATTAGAAGACGATTGCAACATAGTGCAAAAATTAACATTTCACGTCACTCCATGTCCTCTGTCATGTAAAGTCCACCGGTGTCAGTGTCCTGTGATAAAGCAGGAGCTGCCTCAGGCCCTGAGGGCAGTGTAAATGGCACTTACAGCCTCTCCTCTGTCTCCCTGCTTGCCAGTTGGCCCAACCGGTCCAGGAGCACCAGGGGCACCAGGAGCGCCAGGAGCTCCAGCTGGGCCTGTGCTACCACGATCACCCTGTAGGGGAAGACATTACACAAGCAGTTAGCCAAGCACCTGCCTTGCATGTACTGCATGTGAATGCATTAGGGACTGGTTTACATGCTGTGGTTTTAAAAAAGGTTTTAAAAGGTTTTAATACAGCACATAAACTAGTATCCGCTATAGAAAAATAATCCTTTATTTGATATGTTTTCCTTGCTGCCCCAGAGGATGGATTTCAGGGAATTATAACGTAATACACGTCTTGTTCTGTTTAGGTACCTATGTTATACCTACAGTTAAAAACTGAATCGATTAAGACATGTGTGACTTGGATAATTAGTCTCTGAGTGTCAGTGATTTACTGTGACACCTGGAAGCCTGGTTAATTGTATAGCTTGGGCTAACACATCCCTGATCCAATTTAAAATGTCACAACTGAATTAAAATGACAAATGTCCTATTAACTGTTGAAACTACACCAAATTCCAGTTTCAAGGCAGCGTAATATCATGGATGTTCACAGCTAAATATTCAAGGAAAATATGTGTTTTATGTGCTTAATATGATTTACATATTTGATTATTTAAAAGCTGTGGGCACAGGCATTGTTGCATGCCCTTTTTATTCCAAGAATTCAAATATCACTGTGACTGAAGAACCTGAATAAAATCTCAGATTTCTTAGCCCATGGGTTAAGGCTAATAAATATAATGGCTTATCTGTGCTACATGAGAGCAGATCACACAATCACCCATCACTAATGACAATCTGAACCTTTGAGCCTGGCTCATGGATCTTTACTTCACTTACTGCAGAATCATTGTACAGCTGGTATCCCATCAGGGCTGTGGGAATGCTCTCAGGAGCAGCACCCTGTACCCTGCAAGGCTGCAGAGCCTTACCTTAACACCAGTGGCACCATCTCTGCCAGGAGGCCCATCAGATCCGGGATTGCCCTGTGCAGGGACAGAAACAGGTATATATCATTAATGTCCTTTTATGTATAATAAGAATTGAATCAATGTTAAGCTATAGCCACTGTTTTACCTATAGAGCCTGTGTACATGCATATACTGTACAAAACAACTCATTTTGCAAATGGTAGCCTAGGAAATCACTTTGGATAAAAGTACTTATGTGCATAAACTTCATCATCATCATCAGGGCGTAGCTACAGTCAGTTTCAATACTGTCATAGTTTATAGCTGCAGTCACTACAGTGCAGCTACAGTTCTATTCTACATGTACATACAGTAGTCAGAACATATTGCTCAAGTCGAGTCCAGCAGGTGCACAGATCTACAGTCAGTTTGAACAAAAACAGAGCACATGCTGTAAACACAAGTCTTTGGCTACTTACAGATACGATGAAAGTTTATTGTCAGGATTTGTACTGTATCTACAGGCACTGTTTATAGGTAGAGCCTCAGTAAATGGAAGCGCATACAGCTGGAATCAGGCGGTTTTGTTCTTGTCGGTGTATTGATCTACAGCGGAGGGTGTCCAATGCCACTGGAGAGCCAGCAGGATGAGAAGATACTGACCTCTCTGCCAGGTTCTCCAGAGGGTCCAGTCAGGCCAGGGGGTCCCACAGGGCCAGGGGGGCCACGGTCACCAGAACCTCCTGGAGCGCCTTGCTTGCCAGGCTCGCCCTGAAAAAGGCAAAGGTCACAGGGGTTACCAACAGGAGGCAGTGTGCACCGACTTAGCCCAATGCAGACAGCTGGGCTCACCAACTTTTGGCTTTAATCTGCTAGGCTTGGAGACCAACCAGCCAGTCAGATGGATGAGGAAGTCAAGACCTCATTAAATCTACAGGCTGCTGCAGGCAGTAGATTTGAGAATGGTGGAGAGTTGTTCTAGCACAAAGAACATGGAGAAAATACTGATCTTGGGGTCCTATTTATACCCTAGCCCAGAGTTCCACTGTTGTGGTCCTGGCAGGTGTGTCTACAGCGTTTCAGCCCAGGGCAGCTTATAACGATCAGAATAAGCCGATTATTACTTTATCTCGACTACATGAACAGCTTCCGCCAGCATTTCAGGTGCTGTAGACACACCGTCTGTCCACGTCCAGAATTGGGGACACCTGCCCTACAGCCAGAGATTGGTGGAAATTGGAGATTGTCCCCCCCAACTTTTGTTATGAACTCCATTTAAAGATGGGTGGGAGTCGAGTGCTCTTTTCATAACAAAGTACAAGAGTCAGCTTCAAAGTACATTTACACATCAACCAAGGCCAAAGTAGGGGCCACAATGTGCAACCAGCACTGAAAGCTGTTTGCTTTGACTTGTCTGCACTGTGTGCAATTAGAATCTCCCTATTTTAAGAAATGTCATCACATTACTGAGCAAAGTTATCTCTTAAAAGGAGTCAGTTACTTGTGCAATGGATTACACGAATAACAGCAAGGGGAAACAGGTACCATAATGTATGTGAACATGATCCATTTCTGTGCATTACTACAGCTAGTCATGCACAGCTTTTGTCTATTTAAAAAAACAATAACGTATACAGGAGACTGAAATCTGTTGTATACGTCCAGTTTATAACATCAGGCAGTTCTCTAATTGATTCTGTTTTGATGTTTACAATTTTTACTACCATCTGGGCAATACCATGCTACTGTATTGTCTCCATTTTCTGCTCTCCCATGTGTTGGAAGTCTGTGCTTGTAATGGGGCACACAGAAGGTCTGTGTGATACTCACAGAGGGTCCAGGAAGCCCAGGGAAGCCTCTCTCACCACGCTGGCCAGGCAGACCAACAATACCACGCTGCCCGGCCAGACCTTGAGGACCAGAAGGACCATCAGGACCCTGAGAGAGAGAGAGACAGTCAATCACAAGGCACAATGACCTCCCTGCTCCAGCAAAACATACCGCTCACACCTTGAGAACTGGCAAAAATGAAAAAACAATTCTGTATAAGAGAAACATATAAAACTGTGCTTTCGGAAAAAGGTATGATTGAATAGCACTGTTATACCTTTCTTCTCTCTTAAATTAAATAAGGAAAGCTCATCTGTATTATTTTTTTAGTATTCATGGTGCATTGTGACATTGTTTTCATTGATGAGTGTTTTTGAATGAGTCTATTATTCTTTCTATTCTATTTTTCCACTGTTGCCTATGTGTCTACAGCACATGACACAGCGGCAGAGGGAAGTCAATAGGTGGATGCCATTTCACTGTCTTGTTTTGGGGCTCGAGGACACCCCAAAGAGTCATAGGGGGCACTCACAGGGGGACCATCCTCTCCAGCCTCGCCCTTCTCTCCGGGAGGACCGGCAGGACCCTGCAGACCAGCGTCTCCCTGGCGACCAGGAGGACCGGCGTCGCCACGCACGCCCTTGGGGCCGTCTTTCCCAGAGGCGCCGGGGGGACCAGCGGGGCCTGGGTTACCCTGCATGGGATTGAGGACAAGAGGGGGGGCGGTCAGCAATGGGGGCACCAGCAGCAGCCCTGGAGACAAGGGCCGACAGATGAACACAGAATCACAGAGACACATGGCATTTCATCACACTTCATTCACACTCCTCAAATAAGGTAGATAATACTGTATGTATGAAGGCAGGTTTTTCAGGAGAGATGCAGACGTGTTCCCTCTCTGCACAGAGAGCCGTGCTGTGGGCACCGCGTTTGACCAGAAAAGGTCACGGGATTAACAACTCTTCTCTCGTGAGCATGGCTGCAACTAGCCTGTGAGGACGGGTCTCGATGCTAAATCACAGGAGCAGAACCTGAACCATACGGACATTCTGGCCATTCAGTCTTAAGGCTGGTCTTGCAGTAGAAGCATCGGTGGGGTACTTACGTTGGGGCCAGGAGGTCCAACTCTGCCTGCGGCACCGGGGAAACCAGTGGCACCCTGGGAAGGAGAGGGAGAGATGGGAGGTCACTGCCATGCCGAGATCATGCTCCTCCTTACAAGATCACATTACCTTCGCTGCCACAGAGCGAATCTCAATCTTGCATGCGTCCTGTCATTATAACCATTCCGTCCCGGATTTCCAATAGCGTAGCCATCTTTTTTTAAAACAAAATACACTTCCTGATATAATATAATGTCTCAGCCACAAAAATTCTGATTCTAAAACGTATAAGCATGAAGAGCAAGAAGGGAAACGGTCAAATCAATACAATCATTACTTTATAAACAGAGTATGAGATGAATGTCCCTACTCCGCCTTCAGCTCAAACTGTTAATTAAGACTTGTTACTGCATATACTGTAGGTGTTATGAAATAGGTTTACATAGACTGAAAAGACTGATTATAACTTCATAGACCTTACAAACTGAATCTAAGGCAATGAATACAAATAGTCTGCGTTCCCTAATGATCTCAGTTAAAATTGGTTTCATTCCCACATTGCGTGTGCTTTCGTAACGCAGAATCTCCAAAGCGTTAAGAAAGCACATTAGTGCTGTTCCCGGCCTTGCGGCCTTTACAATAGAGGACAGAGGACAGAAGACCACTTACAGGAGGGCCCTGGGCACCGCGAGCTCCTTTTGGTCCAGAAACACCAGTTGGACCCTAGAAGACAAAGAAAGATGCTGGTTAACAAAAAATGTATAATTAAAAAAAGCAAGTATAATCATGCTGTGACATTGACACAACGACTAAATGTCATGGAGCACAACAGTAATGTATGTAGATGACGTCATTACGTTCAATGCTACTCTGTACAGAAGACTTCATGAACTGGAGGCTACATTTGCTCAGGTTTTGGTGACCAGAATACAGATACAGATGCAATATGGACTACATGAAACCTGTTGTTAACCTTTAAGTCACAAGACAATCTGAAGACGTGAAATCATTAAAATGGTATTTCAAAGTAGGTGTCATTCTGTCTCACTAGATTTTCCCTGCTGATTTTGAACACTGCACTCTCCCCAGTGCACCGACTCTCAGGACGAATGCCCAACCCCAAACGAATGTGCTCCAGCAGGACACCGAGGTATCAGTTCAGGAGAATCTCATTTCAGGACGAAAGAGTAGGCAAGAACTGGACAGGCAGCCACGGTTGGCTGTGGCTCGGCTTAAGAATCAGACAGGAGGAGCTCACCTGTGGTCCCGGAGCACCTGAGGGTCCCTGAGGTCCAGGGGCGCCAGCGTCACCCTTCTGCCCAGACTCGCCCTGCTCTCCCTTGGCACCAGGCTGGCCATCTGCGCCCTGCAGAAGGGAGAAATACTCCGTTGGTACTTGCAAATCACAAGTTACAGGTCATCGCTCCCCGCCAGCCGAGTTGGAGAACTGATACCCGTCACAGTCAACAATCATCACAGACAAACTCAGATCTACCGATGATCAAACTACAGATCTCTTACTAGCGAGATCAATTATCATTCATATGTTACCATTATCAAAGACAAACCTCCAGCTACCATCAGCATCATTAACACATGAACAGAGTTAACAGGAGAAATCCTCGTTACTTATGATAATTATATTGTACAATAATCTCTCATTAGTAGTCTCTAATGAAACAGGCAATTTCCTTGTTGTGTAATATTTCCATGACACTTTGGAACAGGACTCTTGCTTCAATTAAAACCGATGTTTTTGCATAACCAAAAGCACTGCTAATGGGTTACCAATTAAAGATGTACAGAGGTGGGAAGGGTGTCAAATGTCAAACATTCAGATTATATAAAAATACTTAGGTTTCCTTTGATTATATTTCACTTTGGAACAACAAACCTCAACGAGCGGAATTCCTGCACAGGTTTGGTTAATTTAAACAGGTTTGATTAAGAACTTAAGCTTAATTAAAGAAAGAGCGGAGCTGGAAATAAAACCAGAGGAAGCCGGTGGTATTCCAGCACCAGGACTGGGGACAGACTAGACAGCTCGGGTTCTGCCTGTCTCCAGGTGACTGATAGGTGTTATGAGGATGACTCAGGTCAAACAAGAAGCACAGTTTTACTCACAGGAGGACCAGCAAATCCAGCAGGTCCAGGAGGACCAGTTTCACCACGGTCACCCTGTTGGAGAGAGGGAAGAAGAGTCAAGACTGATGCTTTATCGTCTGTACTGGGGCCCCAAGAGGCGCTTTAGGCATCAGCAAGGGTGCTGACAATTCTAAGTGACATCAGCGGAGACGGGGGATTTTCCTCTAGTGTGAACTTATTATACAGCCCATTTGTACACTCCATTTACAGTCTTCTCTCTTAGCAACATCAATTAGTTAAGGCTAATGAAATAAACATTAACTATCTGTCCTGAGAATTTTTCAATTTAGGAGTTCTCAGGAGTCATACAACTGATGTGTTTTTTCTCAAGATATTCTCTATGTCACCAGTAAGCTGTTAATTTATGGGGAAAAGCAGTAAAGAATTGATTGAGAATGCTCATCTGTGCACATGAAGATCACCTCCGAATGCTTTCTGACTACAGATTAAGACACATGGAATGATTAACTAGAGGGTACAGGTACACAAGTCATGGTAGCATGGCGGAGCCAGTGTGATGGACTAACGTGACAGGTGGAGCTGCAAGCCTATGTGGCAGGATTGCACTGGCAGAGGAGTGGGAGTGAGACATGCTGGGTGGAACACTTACAGGAGCTCCACGGGCACCAGCAGCACCAGATGGACCAGAAGGACCAGATTCACCCTGAAGAAGAGGAGGAAGAGAATTAGGGCAAAGGACACTGGGATTGCCACCTGTCAAAGCGTCACGATCAAAAGAGCAAATCGCCCCAACAAGCTCAAAAAATACAAAACAGAATTTTAAAACAACTATATTTCATTCTTCGTCTACTGTGCAATGTCGTAGTTTTGCTCACTGGCTTGCCTGAGCAGGTACACCTGTGAGAGGCGACTGCATTAACAGCAAAGAAAGCAATCAGGGCTCCCATCTCCTCTTTTCAAATTGAGCTGATCATCTTTGTCCAAGCCCAGAATCACAAGCTCAAGATCTGGGCTCACAAATGCTGCACCTCAAGCCTAACCCTGATGCCCTCTATAACTTGACACTCGTTCTCAACAACGTGTACAGTTGTGGACTTCATGTATCTTTGGCAATCAAGATACCCAGATATTGCTCTATCGGGACGTTCTGGACAAAACCTCAAGATACACATCCTATTTGGGAAATAGTTTCTTCTTTAACACTTCTTCTTGCTCAGAATTAAATGGAAACTCTACAAGATGAGGGCAATAATACCAGGCCTTAAAAATGATGGATAATATTGGACTGGCTCTGTGTCAGCCAGGAGGTCCAGTGATCGCTCTTTGTTCACTGACCCACATATATTTCCATTTAGTTCATGAGCACCTCTGCTCAGAAGGGACAGAGCTCTTTCCGCAACAAGTCGGCCCAAATCTCCTGCTTCCAAGTGAATCAGCTCCATCCTACTATCCCTGCCTTGCCCAAACACCAGAGGCCCAGCCCTACCTTCTCGCCATTAGGACCAGCAGGACCAGGAGGACCAATGGGACCAGTCAAACCCTGGAAGAGAAGATGCAGACTTGGGTCAGTTATGGTCGGAGTACGCAATCTTGTTGCCTCTCTACATCTGGTGTCATCTAACCAACATGAAAAGCTTTTAGCCCAGAAACAGTTTTGCAGACTAGTCCTATATTTCGCAAGGTAATAAATATTTCAGCAGCTATTATGTTATATTTTTAACGACAAGGTTTTTGTTACCACTTCAATAATTTAATTGAGGCAAGTTGAACAGCACACTGGAAATTAGCAACATAAAGTGGTCTTACTGTTCATGTTATACTATTAAGATTATACAACTTCACTTTTGCATCTAACTACATGTTGTATGGAATACCTATATGATTTTTTTCTCAGAAATCTGTAAAATACTGATGTCTCTTGCAGTTAGAGATCTCTGCTAGAGATTTTTGACCTGGTGCTCTCAGGGCTTGTGAACTTTTTATTCACTTCATTTACGATTCACTCAAACACACAGCTCTCTGCTAACGTTCCCCTCCATCAAAGATGTTCACTGTTTGCAAAGATGTGTTAATTTTCCGCCTAGGCCCTCCTACAGCCTGTCAACACAAAGCTGATTAAAACATAACAGAGGCGTCTCGGAAAAAGTCACTACTCACTCTAGAGCCATCCTTGCCTGGAGCTCCCTCAGGCCCTTTCTCACCAACATCGCCCTACAGGGGGAAGAGAGAGAGGAGACATCATGACTAAGCACACACCTGCACTTGGGGTAGAACCAACAGTGTGGGCTTTTGTTGGAGAACTGTGAAGGCTGTCTTCTGTTTGACACCTGCCTCCCATGTAGGGGCAGGCAGCAATCAGCTGGAAGAAATAAGGCCAAGCAGGTTTAATACAAGGTTTAAATAAATGTGTGGTTCATCTGATTACAGACAAGACAGAAATTCAGCATAGTCGTGCTAAAATGTATTTCCCCATTCTTGTTTGCTCATTGTGGTCTGAATTTTCTATTTCTGGTCAAAATGACCTATGGGGAACATCACTTGAGGTGGGCTGGCTCCTAACTAATATGTGTCGCTCAGAGAGATGGAGAGTGTGCCTCGCGGCAAAGAGATCTTCCTGCTGTACCCCTGGCACAACTTCCACAGCAAAGGGGACACCTTGCTAATGTCACTTTAGTTAAGCATCACCAACAAGACAAAGATGAGATGGCAAGGCAAACAAGATGAAAGCTAAATGATTAGGTGAGGGACCGACAAGGTGTTGAATCCAGAACTTCGCAATTGTCTCTTCCACGGGGGGTCTGTCCCGTCTGGTGAGCTGAAGTGCTGGCAGTGCCCAGATACGGCCAGGCGGGTACTCACTCTGTCTCCCTTGGGTCCAGGAATGCCAGCAGTACCTCTCTCTCCAGGCATTCCCTGCAGGCCGGGGGGTCCCTGGGCGCCAAGAGCACCAGCTGGGCCGGTGGCACCCTGCGTGAATGAACAGAGAGGGCATCAGGGGCTGGGGCAGCAGGACTTGAGGAGAAGCTGGTAGGTCACAGCAAAGGGGGCATCACACAGTCAAGCAGCATCCTGTCTAACAACCTAGATTTGAGCTTCAACCTGAGCTAGATGTGTCTGCACTATTGGTAGCACCAGTAATTTGCAGCTCAGGTGACAGGATCTCATCCAGTTGTTTCTTGAACATAGCCAGGGTATCGGCCTTTACAATGTACAGTAGCTGGGTTGCTCGTTCCAGACTCCAACAAAACTTGGGAGTAAAGAAGTGCCTTCTGTTCTTAATTTTAAATGCACTTCTGTGTAGACTTGTATAATATCTTAGTCCATATCTTGACCACATTGCAGTACAAGTGCAGAGCCCGGCCCAAATAAACACGCTCACCCCCCTCCAACACAAGAGGGCTGCCCCGTTCTCAGTAACACTCTAGTTGCCAGCACAATGGACACCATCTTTCTCCATGAGCATCTGCTGAGATCCCTGGTATTGCTCTGGTATTGCCCTGCCAGACTTCCATATGGAGGGGACCCATGATCAGAAGCACCCTGTCTTTCTGTGCCCTCTCAGACTGAGACACCCCAGTACCCACCTTGGGTCCATCAGTTCCTGGGGTTCCGGGCAGACCTCGTGGGCCCTGCAGACCCTGGGCTCCAGGTCCACCCCTCTCTCCTGGGAAACCGCGCTCGCCCTGGAGAGGTAAGAGAGGAAGAGAACTCATCATGGTGCTTCGACTGCGTCAGGCTTCACGGACATCCAGCGGCATGGACATGCGCAATGCTCTGCCGGTCAGGGGATCGGGGTAGGAGGATCACACTCACTCTGGGTCCAGCAGCTCCTGCAGCTCCTGCCTCTCCGGGAACACCCTGTGCAGAGAAAGAGATGCTCACATGGCGTTTTCCCAGATACCGAAACTGCTCCTGCACTGAACTGCTTGAGTGTGTGCTTCTCAATGACGTGTGCAAGCCACACAGAAAGCTGACCGTGTCACAATCCAAGTTCTTGCGTGGCTATGGTTTCTCCCAGGAACAACCGAGCAGGAGAATCCTTTAGATTTTAAGCTGTGGTTTTGTTGAATGATTTCTCTGTTGGAGCCTTGCATGAGGAATTAAAGAATGAGTGAATGTAAGCAATGTCATTAAAGCCTGCCTGTTCCAGCAAGGCAGCTGATTCTAGCAGAACTGGAAAGATATTAATTGCAAGTGAGTACAAATGAGGAACAACTACAGTATTAACAGGAGGCTGTAAAAATCATAAATGAATGCACATTTATTCTCTCTACCTCTATGCACTATTTAATAATGCAATAAGATTAAAAATCAATACTTAGCAGCACTAAGAACCTGTAGGGACATGATTTTGTGGATGCCTTTGCTGTGTGGTTGTACAGGGATGGGGGAGGGGTATGGCTTTGACAAAGGGGGACACCACTCACCTGGTCACCGGGCTTTCCACCCTCACCTGGAGGACCAGGAGGCCCAGGAAGACCCTGCACACAGACGGGGAGAGAGGAGTTAGTGATCAGATCGTGCGCAGGGGACAGCTGGAGCTCACAGCACCCTAAGAACACACAGCTAGACACAGCAACAAGCCTGCGATTAGGAAAGCACCATATTCCTCATCGACAGGCTCAGCGCGAATGCACGAACTACCGAATCAAACCAGCCTCTAGCTTCCAAGTGGAAAGTGCCTCGTCGCCACACTGCGCATAGCTACCCTTTGACGTGACTTTTCTGTTTCATCTAGACACTGATGTGTGTGAACTGCACAGCCAAACTGACAAATCCCTAATAAGAGCTGGACTACTAATCAGCAGAGATAGAACAGGTGTGGGAAGATACTTCTGAGGTCAATGGTATAACCAGTGAGATGGGATGAATACAATATGTTGCTCCTAGTAGCAGGGGCCAGTGCTGTCTAACTTCACTGAGATCCTTGACAGACCATGCAGAGGAAGCTTCCTGGCCATATATGTCCATCCCAAGGTGGTGATGCACAGACACCCTATTCTTAGCTTTGATTAGTAGACACTTCCAGCAGACTATAAAATAAAGAAGGGCTTTGTACATTCAACCATTTTAAGTGTGAAATGGAACATGTTTCTATCTATAACCAACACAGACCGCTGCACCTTTGCACAGTGGACTGAAAGTGAAGCCGGCCATGTGCAGCTCTCTGCCACACTGGCGAGGGAGAGCAGTCCCGAGCTGACCTTATGAGATCTGGGTCATGGATGACTCAGGGTTCAGTCCCCAGTAATGCAGACTGACAGTGAAACGCTTACCTGGAAACCAGAAGGACCGGGCTGACCTTGCTCTCCTCTCTCTCCAGCAAGACCCTAAGGGAGCAAGACAGACAAGCACACTCATGAAACACTATCAAACATAGCTCTTCTGGCAGCATCATCTTCAGAATGTATCGACAAAGGGTTCATAAGAAATGGTAAAATTGTTATTTATGTATTTTATTTTATTTTTACATTACATTACATTTTTGCTTTGTACAAAGTATTGGAACTCAGATGCCATCTCATCTGAGTCCATGATGTCTCATTTTAGGATAATGTTACAAGGCAGTCTTCTCATGTCCCAGACAAGTTTCAGAACAAATAACTCTGGCTCCCTCTGGTGGCCAGCAATGAGCACTGCAGTTTGACACCATAGCTCGAGTTCCGTTACATGAAACAAAATACCTACAGGCTCTAAGTCACAAAACTTGCTTTACTGGATTTACATATTGAATCTATAGCACCTTTAACAAACCTCTGTACTCACACGCTCAGATCGCAGCTGTAGGTGATAAGACTCTACTGTCCAGTCTGACAAATGCAATTCTGCTGTATCACTGTACCTGCAGACTCTGACTTGTTCTATTCTAATCTGCACTTGCACTAACCTACATGGTCTTTTACATCGTCTGAACCTTCCCATGTTGTATACTTAAGTCCACGAATGAACATGGCAGCTCATCTGGCTCATCCCAGTTCCTATAAGGCTAAGCAGTGGATCATGGGTGGTGCTGAAAGTTTTATACAGCTGGGCTAAAGGAAGAAACCAACCTTCCTCTTGGGAATCCATAGCCACCACCCAACACCTCCCTCCTCTATACACAAGCTGCTATATATTTGCTCACTGTGGCCCTTGGACGTCACTTGGGATCAAGGAGGCAGCCAGAGGAATGAACAGTAACAGAAGCTGCAAGGGGTGCATTGATAACTTACAGCAGGCCCTGGGGGTCCCTGTGCACCAGTCTCCCCATCTTTCCCAGGCAGACCCTGCCAGGAGAAGAGGAAAGGTTAGTCAGGGTCAGTCACAGGGTTCCGTCCGGACACGTGCTGCCCACTGGCACCTTATTGACCAGTGCCTTTCCGGGCGAGCACCCACAGTTACCAGCATGCACAAGACAAATGCAAGTTCAAGTGTTCCCTGCGTGTTTCTATGGCGTTTTTATGTAAGAAATAATATCGATATGAGCAGGATCAAGCCTATGTTCCCTTCCAGATGTAGCCAATGAGATCAACTTTATCATGAGGGTTTAAATGCAGCCTGAATAAAATTTTCTTCAAAGAAACATCTGTGTTGCCTGCAATTATGAAGTACAAAGAATCTGTATATTTTAAATGACATTTTTGGGGGGCATTTAAGGTTTTAGAATCAAAGGGAAATACCTGCTAACTGCTTTTAATTAGCTGTAACTCCCCCCTACTTCAAATGCAAATTCCAAGTGGTTATAGTTTCTTTACACCACTATCGTTTGGTCTATCTTTACACCACTATCTTTACACCACTATCTGACCAAAACTATCGTTTTGGTCAGTGGCTAGTAACGCCTAGCTCCTTTAACCAATTACAAATTATTTATGTATTTCTTCTAAATAGATCAGTTTATGGCTGGTAAAATAATAATCCTGCTGTCTGCTATTGTTCATCAGGGATTATTTCACGTTGCAAAGTGCGCCCCCTGGTGACGTGTATCAATCCTACCTTCCATTACAGTGCAACAAATGTGCTTCGCCTGTAGGCAACGTGGATCTACACTCTATATGTTTATAACCGAAGCACAGCACTTTGATTTACATTTTTTACAAAGAATAGCTACAGTATACTTACTCTGAGACCTGGAGCGCCAACCAATCCCTTCTCTCCAGGTTTTCCAGACTCACCCTAGAAAGCCACAGAGACAGGTCACTCTCAGAGGTGTCTGCATCACACACAGACATGGCATCACAAAGCATCCAGAACTTGGGGCCTCTGCTTAATTGTTTTATATATTTTTTAGTTTCACTTAAAACCTTTGCTCACTGAGTCTTTACTGTGCGAGCTGCAGGAACACTTAGCTGAAGGTGCTATTGATTGTTTTGTGAGGATCTGAGCATCAGCAGGTTTGAATCTGCAGTGAGAATAAGGCTGCCAGCGAGATCTTTTTCAGCTGAGATACACAAGGAAAATCAGTAGGTGCACAAAAAGCACCTGGCGTGACTTCCCTTAGGTCTGTACACAAGTAAGGATGTAAGAAAATACAAACTTTTATGGAACAAGTAATAGGTTTATTCCATGCTGTAAAAAAGGGAGAAAGAAAACACAACGTTTCGGCCGTTTCGGCCGTGAAGCCTTCTCCAGATGTGAGCTTTTATGATCTTTTATGCTTTTATGATTTAAAAACTTTTATGATCAGAACAGCCTTTTCAGGGCTCACTACTTTTAAGCATCAAGATGACTTCTGAAAGGTCCCAGCTATCAGGACATGGTGTGACAATGTACTCCATGCCCAGTCTTTCTCAAAGAGTTTATCAGTACAGCACCAGTACAAACTGGACTGTAGATAGGTTGTGTGCGGTGGACGACACTGGCCTGTCCCTAACTGCTGCTGACTGTCAGGGCCAGAGCAGGGTGGCACACTCACGGTAGCTCCTTTCGGTCCAGGGAATCCCATCACGCCGGGCTGGCCGCGGGCTCCCTGAGGCCCAGGGGGTCCCGGCCTACCGTCCTCACCAGGGGCTCCCTGCGGGGGGACAGAAGAGAGCATGACTGCGGGCACCGGGGCAGATCCAGAAAGCCCAGGCTGTGCCACATTGTGTCACAGGAATCACGTCTCTTGGGTTTGACGAGATATAAAAGTAAAAGACACTGAGAACCGAGTTCTCTTTCAGTTTCATCCCATGTTTAGCCAGCTGCATTTGACAATGAAGACCCGGTAGGTACCCGTTTGCCCAGCAGGGCACTTCCTGGAGCAACCTGAGTTCAGTGACGTGGTCAAGGGTAAACAGCTGCACCCCGCCGAAAATTGGAAACCAAAACATTTTGGACTGGAGTCCAGAGCCATGACTCGGATTGCTGTCAGACTTTAACTGCTGTTTGCTTTTCTTATATTGCCTGAAGAGGATAAAAACCATCTCTGTTAGAAAATGGTTCAAAATAAAAACTTCCACACTCCATAGGAGGGTGATATACAGTAAACACCAGACAACAGACGGGCTGTGGGCAGAATGTCAAGTGTTTCTTTAATAACCAGGTGCTGGGGCCGGATTTTCCCAAGACACCCAAGAGCTGTGTTTGGATATGAATTCAAATATTTATAGTAGATGACAAGTAATAATTATGTTTTCTTGATGAGTTAAGCTTCATTAAGCCTAACTTATGGGGACAGAAGAGAAATGTTTTAGGACGGCAGAAGCCCCATCTTTCTCTTTATCTCTTTATTTTCCTGCACACAAAGGGATTTTATAAGAATTGTCACAATGAGTTTTGAAAGTTTATTCTGAGACAGGCCCTCACACATCACGATTGATGTATTCCATGCAGTTAAAAGGTTTTCATGCATAACACAGAAAAACATAGCTTGTTTCTGAGCCAACACCAGGGGTCAAGTACAACAGGTGTGTGACAGGAGGAATGGATGTTCCCTCATCAAGATTAAGAGGTCACTCCATCAGAGCTACTTACAGAGGGGCCAACTTTTCCTTGAGGACCAGCATCACCAGGGCGACCAGTAAGACCCTACAGGCAGAGAAAAGAGATCAGGAGGTTAGCCACTTCCAAGGAATGGACAGAGTGCTCTGGTGCAACACGTAATGCCTTCACACCCAGATCCGCCTTAATGTAGGCGCCCAGCTTTAAATTCCATGTTGACATCCTAAAATCAGGACATTAAGTCACTGATGCAGAAAAGTGCAATGTGCAACAGTGTGGCTATACCATGATTTAACATTATCCAGGAAAGCAGTTATATTTTACATTCTCCAATATGTTGTCGCACACTCACTTGTTCTATATTAAATGCTAAAATTGACTTTGTTCAGTCATACATAAAACCTTATTAATGTCCTGCTGGTTGTACTCTAATATGTATTTTCACCTTGTGAATGTCAAAAGCGAACAACAAATTGCTAGTTGTTACCACTGTTCAGTCTGCAGAGCACAATAATTTTTTTAAGGCAGTACAAAGTGCTCTGCCTTTTCTAATGGGTAACCTCATCACTTACTGTCAGTGATGGTCCCAAAGGCAGTGAAAGTCTGCTCCATTTCATTTTCAACAATTCAAATCAGAGCTCTGCTTGTCTGAAATAATACTCTAATTTGTAATGCCTGATACTAGAAATAAACCATCACAACTTCAGGAGAAAGGCTCCACTTATTGCAGGATTATTGGAATATGAATGTGAGCAGTGAGTTAATTTGCTGGCATGCTGCTTACCTTTTTGGGAGTGTGGCTCATCTCACATATGATGGAGCCCCCCAGACAGGGAGGAATTAATACTACTATGCTATCTACACCTGCATGATGCACTCGTCCACGTACACATGGAGGTGTGTGTGCCTGCTCCATTTTGTGCTTGGTTTTGTGCTGTTCACATATCACTTCTGTGTTAAGGCATTTGTTCCACACACAAAAAAACAGCTCACTGGCAGCCGTCAGTAATGGTTCGTGTACAACAGTTGCGTTTGGCTGTTGGTGTCACAGCGACTGAGAGACATCGGTAACAAAGAGGGCTCTTACTCTGGCACCAGGCAGGCCAGGCTCTCCAGGGCGACCGGGGTCTCCGTTGGCGCCTTTGGGACCAGAAATTCCAGAGGGCCCACGCTCGCCAGGGGCTCCCTAAGACAGAGCGAGAGAAACAGAGGGCACATGCGTCAGGCAGGTGAGTAGATCAGGGTGCTGGCGTCCTCCTCGTCCTGGGCCCATGGCACAGCACTGCGGCTGCAATACTTCCCTCTCGCACTGCACTGCAGTGAGATAAAAAGCTGTGTTTTTGACACTAGACGAAGAATAGTGCTCTTAGAGAAATATTAGAAATGTGAAGTCTCCTTGCCTGTCAGATAACAGCATAATATATTTGATCAATGAAAACGTTGAATGCATTTTTCTTACAAATCTTGCAGGTTACACGTGCCACCTTGTGGTCTATTGTTAGAACTGCAGGAAAACAAACTTCACATGAAGAGCACTATCGGGGTCCGGCGTCCCTGTCAGAGCAGTTATTCTGAGTAGCAGTCAGAATCACTTTATTTTAAAAGATAGGTTTCTTTGGCTTCAGCAACAAGATTGTTTTCATCTTCTGGTGCGAATCGGGGGTATGTCCTCCTGTGGGGTTTTTCAGAGATTGCTTTCTTCTATGTAACAGTTTGAAACGAGTGGCTGTGAGGTTATCAAAGGCCCCTATCCATAGGAGAGGCTGCTGGGAAAACCAGCACTGATAACTGCTCTCAGTGCTCAGACTCTGGCACACTGGTCTAGGTGATGGTTTCCTAAGGATTCCAAGTTGGTCACTGGTTACTATGGCGGCACCTACCTTGGGGCCTGCAAGACCATCCTGACCTGGGAAACCACGGTTACCGGGGGAGCCCTGGCAACAAGGAGAGAGGAAATGACAAGTTAGAGCTGGCCAGTCAGCCAGGCCAGACTAAATCATTAACACTGCAAATTAAAAGATCTAGCAAGCTTTACTGTCATTTATTTTAAACTTTGCCTAAGATAATACACTAGTAATGATAATGCTCGTGTTATTGTAGAACGTGGATCAGTGCACTATATGACTGCGAGTGTTGTCAAATTAAACAATAATGATTCATGGAATTCTCTCTTTATAAAAGAGCCATGACACACATAAGCAGAGTCTATTCTGAGAAATAAAAGGGTATAACTCACCAATTCTCTTAGTTTACATGCACACAACAGCATACTGATTTTTTTACTTCAAAATTCACTTTCTGAAGTTTGAATACATATTTTCCATGCAACCGCTTGGTCTCTGTGTTGGTCTACTTAATGCTTGGTTTTGTAACTGTGCTGTTTAATCTGCCACAGTACAGCAGCTGGGTTCTTACAGAACATGAAGCTGCACAGAGCCTTGCAGCACTGGAAGATGAATAGCAGGTTAGTCTGCAGCATTAACTCATGGCCTGTTCTGGTTTCTAGTACTGCTGCTCTGCGAGTATGGTAACAGGGAGACATCATGAATAATTTCTACCTTAGTGGATGCACAGTAATTTGTTTGTTAAAAGCACTCCTCTTTGTTTTTAGCTGCTTTTTGTTCAAACCAGTGTCCCCACCAGTGTAACACAACATGCAGCAGACAACATGGTGAACAACACGGCCTGTTAGAAAAGGACAGTTCCCAGGCTGTCCTGAACCAATCCTGGTGCTGTTCCACACACCACTGCCAGCAAGCACAGCCCCACAGTTCCCAGCAGCTGCATGTTCGGCCATGGCATGTAAGAAGAGCACGCGAGCTCTGGGCTGCGGAGGTGCTGGTGTTGCTCTGCTGGGCACTGCGTGCTCGGCCACTCACCCTCTCTCCAGGGGGCCCAGGGGGTCCTCCAGCACCGGGCTCTCCGCGGGCTCCTCTCTTGCCTTCCTCTCCAGCAGGACCGGGGGCACCTTGAGGGCCGGCAGGACCCTGTGTGGGGTGTCCACAAAACATGCCCGATTAACCCCTCTCCCGCTTCCTCGTCATCAACAACAACTCTGGCTCCTGTGCTCCCAATGTTGTAGTGACATAAAACTTCAACACATGGCCTTGCTAGTCTCAATTAGGGTTTTTCTTACAAATACTCTGTGACTGCATCTGAAAAATCCTAAAATTAATCTATGTGCAGCAATAATCAAAGTACCTAGATTATAAAACCAAAATGTGCAGGGCAATAATGAGAAAACAGCACCGCCTAGTGGTGCACAGTGTACTTTTAGTCTTCAGAAGGACTGCCTACGGAGAGGAACAATGATTAAGAACCAGAAGAACCGATTGCGGAGAAGAATTGGCTTTAAATTGTGACGCTCTCGAGGATGCACAAGCATGAAGTCTAGTTTGCTGCACACACTCTGGCGGCTTTGTGTGTTCGTTTCAAAGGGAAACAACATCAGGGCCCAGGTTCAATGTGAAACCTGGTTTGCCATTTTTATCAGTCGAGTATTTTATTTTCCAGCTTGCTCTGGCTCGAATGCGACAGTGGAAATGGCGGGGGAGGAAGTGTGTGGAGTGGATGGGCACTTACATGCTCGCCTTTGGGACCTTGTTCGCCTTTGAATCCTGGGATACCGGGGTCACCCTATAGGGAAGGACAGACGCACAGGAGAGAAAGCCATTACTATAGTGCTCCTTGCTCCTCAGTGCTTCAGCACAGCACTTGACCTGAAACCACAGGAACTTTACAACCTGACCCACCTCAGCATCTGGCTCTGATTAAACCCAGTGTTAAGAGTTTATGTTGGGCTGAACACAAATTTACAGCGGGAGCCAAGTTTGGCTTCCTGGGTCTCAGTGGGTCACTGAGCTCCCTCCTCCACCTTCATCTGGAACTTCATTTATAATTATGGTCATATGAATCAAGCAGTGCATTAAGGCAAAAAAGGCCTAAGCAACCACTTTTTGGAACGATTCGATTTCAGTGGTTTGGTTAATGAGGAAAATAATTCCTCATTTTGACTAATTTATTTGTAATCTTCTTTAAGTAAAACCAAGCATGAGCAAATAACAAAGGGACCACACTTCCCTTGTCACAAACAATAATGCATTTCCTTCGAAAGGGTTAAGTAAAAAAGACATCGCTTACAGCCATTATGGGCCACACAGAAAAATGAGGGATAAAGAGGTCACCTACCTGTTGACCTTTAGGTCCAAGAGGTCCTGTGGCTCCCTGGGGTCCTGGGGGTCCGCGAGGTCCAGGAAAGCCAGGAGCACCCGCAATGCCAGGAGCGCCCTGCAGAGGGAGGCAGAGAGAACATCAGCACCCTGCAGATCACACAGACCACATGAGCAGGACCTGTTCAGGTGTGTTACTGGCCTCGAGGTAGAGCACATCAACCTTCCATTACAAGGCACTAACAAAGGGAAGCAGGGACCGTTTAGGGATCTGGACTATGAAAAGTGTTTTCATGGTCCCAGGGATTGAATTTTGCTGTACGTTTTGGAATGATTTAGGGGATGAATCAGCTCTCACAGCAATCATGGAAAGTCTCTCATGATCATGGAAAAAGCCTGAATTAAGGCAAGGTTCATTTCCCTGATATATTGCAACTTGAAGACCTTTTGTGGGTTTCTCCAGGGTTCCTTAACTAGCTATTTCTCTGCAGGCAACAACGTGTCAGGACAAGCTGTCGTTTCAAAGTGACCCAGATGAAAGTAACTGCTTTTCACAACAAAAGGGAAATATTGGATTCCTCTGTGTTAACCCTGCTCCTTGCTTGAGCTGCCTGGGATGGTGCTCACTGCTCCAGGCATGGTGCAGCAATATTAAGATCAACAGAAATCCAGGAATTGGTTGGAGAAAGGGCAGAAAACAGGCTCGACTTTAATAAGTGACAAAGATCCCCTTCCCGTTTTCCAATTTAAATTTTGGTGACACACTTTTACAATTCCCCTACATAGTACTTAGTGCTCAATCCCAGGACCCTAATTTCCTCCCTGATTTATTGTCAGAAAGAGAAAACAATGATAGCATCCTTGTCTGTCGATCCCAGGGTCATGTAGTCTGGAAATGAATCCTTCTTATACTAGCAGTAACTGAATGATTAACATACTGTATAGTACTATTAATCAACACTGCAGTATTATGTACTACTAGAAACTATTGCAGTGAATTCCACAGAAACAAACATGGCAGAGAAAGGAAGTATATAAAGCCATTGCTATCTTTATCGCTTTCAGTCAGTAATATAAAAAGCTGACTGTGTCTGGACTGTAAGGCATGCAGCTACTGGTGTTAATAGCACTACTCCATACTTTCTCAGGAGACTGTAAATTCCAAACCTCCTGCAATAAAACTAGAAACGGGGGAAGAACAGAAAGATTGGAGGTTAGGATTATTGTTCCCAGATTACAGGAAGCAAAACTGTTTTTTTAATTGGGGGGAACACATTTTATGCTTTCCTGAAAGATAATTTAAAACTGAATAGATTCATAGCCCGTAATTTCCCTTTAAAAAAGAAATAATTTATATCTGGCTGATTGAACGCTTTTTTATATTTTATTTTTCTATTAATAGTTAATGTGGTTATTATTGTTTTCGTATATTTTTGTTTTATTCATCCTTGTGCTTTAAATGTGCTGTTTAAATTGAAACCCAAAGTGAATAAGAGGAGAGAGAGAGAATAAAACATACTTACAGCTGACCCTTTGGCTCCAGGGATACCATCAGTACCTGGGTTACCCTACAGAGACAAGTCAGAGCACTTAAGTCAAAAGGGGCAACACAGGTAACAGGTTCATTTGTTCCAGTGATCCTAGGGTGAATTCACTTGATCACTTCTCACCATGCTAATCTGAAACTGCTTCTCTACTTCACTGAATGCAATTCTGAACTCTTTCTAAAATCAGATCCATCACATGCAAACGTCTCCTTCTGGTTTTACTGCCTCTCTCACTGCAGAATGACTCAGCCAGGAGTCACCTGCAGCTGCTGAGTCACTCCTTCTGTATTTCTGCTCCCTCAGCTCACCTCTCCCTGCACTGCGCTTCTGAAGCTTCCTTCACCAGAGCTGCTCCAGCGGCTAGCAAACAGTGGCTCTAGCACAGCCTGACCGTGAGTGGGGTGTGTCCAGCCGTGAGGTTACTTACAGAAGCGCCAGAGGGACCGGGAGATCCTGGGGTTCCTGACTCTCCTCGGGGTCCCTGAGCTCCCTCGGGGCCTCTAGCACCTGTGGGACCTGCTTCGCCCTGGAAGAACAAGACAGGCGGGGGGAGTTAGCCAGCAATGCAGATCAGAGCATCTCCGCGGGCCTACAGTACCTCTCATCCACCCCTACTGCAGCAAAGCCGACGCCCCTCTGATGAGTGCACCTGTGCGTGCAGGGCCTGGCCTGGCTTTGTAGAAAACTGTACGTATTCATCACCTGCAGCAGTAAAACCTGGGCACTCTGCCCCTTAACACTTTAGGCTTAGACATAAGGCTATATTCAAGGCGTCCAGCTGCAACACCCCTGAATTCCAGGAACACTTAAGAAGAAAAGAATTACCCTTAGTTAACTGAAGATGTTTTCTGCAACTGGCCACCTGCCTTTCAGCCAACGGCCGCTCATAGAAGTGGCATGAGCAGTTTGGGGGTGAAAAAACTACCAACAGGAACAGTGCCGGATCTAACTCTAGTCCAAGCTACTGAAAGGTCGCAGTACTGGACCAATCTGAGGAAACACCTTTGCTCAAGAGAGCCATAGCAATGTCCTCCCACAAGATGTGAACCCACAACCTCCCAGCTGAGTGCAGAGTACTTAGCACTGCTCCATACTGCCAAACTCTGATCAAAGTGAGCCAAATAGACATAAAGTCACTATTAATGCACCTCTAGCTCTGGAGATCATGAAAGCCCACTAACAGAGTCAGGATGCTGCAGGATTAAGACATATGTGCTGTTCAGTGCGAGAAGTGGGAGCAGATCCTGCCATCTTGTCAAAATACAGTAACAGATTACATCATCACATGATAATAAACATACTGTCACCCAAAACTGTGGTTTTATTTCCAGCACTGTTACTCAGTGGAATTCTGGTAAACATTTTTTATAACTCCTCATTTGTTTAGGACTCCAATTATCATTCCAGTGCAATCAGCTGTTAGTGCGCAGAGTAACTAACCAGTGAATGGGGCAACTCCTTGAACCAATGCAATCAAATCAACTGGAATTAGAGCAATGCATCTTTACTACAGGAATATTAAATATATTGGGTGAATTTTACAACACAATTTTAAACAGTGCTTTTAATTAAAAGAGCCAAGTATGTGTTTACATATGGCTATGCTTGTGGTAAGAGGCCACTGTAAAAGTGCATAACTCAACGCCAAGCACATAATGGGTTCCAGGCCTTATGACAAGGGATCGCTGCCAGTTTCCAGCACCACTTGTTTTAATGCTGTGAATCTGCAAGCCCCTCCCCCCTGACCCAGTATGTCATCTCCACACCAGCCAATGAGAACCGGCTGCAGACGTCATGCCCTGCGTGTGGGGCAGCCTCATTGAAGCAGGATGAATTAAATTCCTTCCCGGGCTTTCCCTACGCTACTGTTTGCACAGGATTACATCACAGAGATGATGCAACCGCAGCATTTGAGGAGGTCTGTCCTCTGTCATTCTGATCCAAGGCATGTGCACAGTTTGTGTGTGTGTGCCACCACTGCATCACCAGTGGTGGGGAGAGAGGCTTTGTGTGAGGGATTGGCTGTAGAGAGATAACAGACACTGCAACAGCCACCACTGCAGGGAGCACATGGCCAACTACACAAATTCAATTTCACTTTGGAAAGCAAGACACATGGGCAAAATTTAGACACAGGGGAGACCTAAACACTAAAGGCATTGTCCTAGTTTTACCTATACAAACCTGTGAAATTGAGTATACTGAAAAACAAGTCTTCATTATGGGTATTTGAGACCTTTCAGGACTACTTTGCACTTTTACAGCTGAATGTGCTGCTGACAAGCACTCTTTCAGGTGCAAGCAGATGCGATGATGTGCAAAGGAGCTAGACAGAAAGGGTGAGAAGCCTGGATCTATGGAAGTTCTACTAATACTATTCTGCATTTATTTCCATCTTCAGTGGAATATAAAATCAACAAAGGGTTCTCTTGAAGGAGACATTCTCTCTATCCATTAGAATAACTACATGGCCTACAGCTCATCTGGGCAGATGCCTTACAGAGGGCATCATTCTGTGTCATGAGATTCACTTGGCATCCTAATGTTTAATTTTTAATTCTGTTTCTCATCCACAATCCATATCATAGGATTAATGGTGAGAAATGAGACAACCAAGTTACCTCTTCTACAGTATGTCTCTCTGCTCTCTGGACTTTTATGGGTGGACAAATAGGGAATCAGGAGAAGTATGAACAAAGCCTGCAAGAGTTTCATTTCTTTGTTCCCTATAGCCACCACCACAACCACTACCGCCAGCTGATCCCTCCCCCGCTGTGTTTTAAAATCCCATTTTTTCTGCTTGGATCACGGGATTCCAGAGCTAGGCCTCAAACCTGTCTGGTTGCCATGGCAGCTGCTGACACCAGACCTCCAGAGGAGAACGACAACAACACAATCCCCAGAGAAAGGTCAGAGTGACTTCCCAGCACAAAGACAGTGGAATTCAGGGGAACAGTTAGCTAATTCCTTCTATTCCCAGTGCGGGACACTTAAAGGTCTCTATATCTGACCTTGGCTTCCCAGTGACTTATTAAGCCCCACCAATTACAGTACCCTCTGGAGGACTTACATTTCTTGGTTGGTTATATTACAACCTAAGCTAGACAAAGCTGACAGAAGTGCACTGGCAGCTTTCTGTGCAGTTCAAACTATGGAGCTACATGCTGGGAAATGGGAGACATTTTCATGAAGTCTGCAATGCCCTTTCCCTATATGCCGCTCACAGCTAACAACAGAGGTCTCGACTGTTTCTTTGGTTTGCTCTTTTACAGTTAATCACAGTTGTCTGAAACACCAAGTGGGGGTGAAGTACATCACCTGACCAGGGTACGCATTTAAAAATGTTAAAAATCAAACACATTGAAGAAAAAGTGTGTGGTGGGGGGGTCAACTTTTGTTTTGCCCCATTGCTCTGAAAAGGAAGAAGCCTCCCCACCTAAGAGATACTTTTCAATCCTATCTCCAAAGAAAACATTCTAATCCATGAATTTCCTGCCTCTTGAAAAGAATACAGAAAATGGTATTGAGAATCTGGAAAAAGTGGAAAAGGCCATTCTGTGTGCATTGAGCAAAGAAACCCAAAGCCTGCAGACATGGTATCAGTTAGTTATTGCAGGAGAGGAAATTAAACCCCACCAAGCAAAGGAGGAAAGGGCAGATCTCTCAGAAGTGTCCAGGCAGACAGCTTTTTTCTGTGGCTGAGCTGCCTGTGTCTCGAGTTTCACTTTCTTTCAAAACCGCCAGGAATGAAAGAATGTTGCTCTCCCACCTAAATCCCTCTTCTTCTCCTTCGCCAGATGGAGAATGGATTTTAAAAGTTAGCCTCCGGCATGTCCTGCCCCCACACAAGGAAGGAGAAAAAAGGCCTCTTTTTGCGACCAGGCCTCTTCCCCCTGTGCTTTTTCCAGTGGAGCTGAACGCGGAGAGAAGGGGGCAGAGGGTTTTCCGTGAGGATTTCATTAGCCCGTCCTGGGCCCCTGGCGGCTCGCCTGCCCTGTTCCCTGGCTGTGCCAAAGCCCCGCCTGGGAGAGGAGCCACATACCTTAGCACCTGGAGAGCCTGGAAAGCCTGGAGCACCAGCTGGGCCCACGGGTCCCTGGAGAAAGGGAGAGAGGGAGAGAGGGAGGGGGAGGAGAGGAGAGTCAGTCATCGGGCTTCAGCGTCTCTTTTCCTGCGAAACAGCGGCACAGGGCCAGACTGCTACTGTTCAGACCCTATTTAAAGAGCAGGACATTCTTTTGCTTAGTTCAGGGGAGGGAAATTCTTAACAGTGCCCGAGTCTATTCAATCTAGAAATGCCAGTATATGCATTGAAACCACTACAAAAGTCAGGAATTTATAGAACTGCTACCCTCACAAGTATGCGTAACACAAGCTGTTGTGTTCACCAGTGGCAAAATCTACTCTTTCATCAAGGGAGATTTGAATATAATTACTGGCGCTGATATTATCACGTTTATGGCCCAGATTACACAGCATCCAGATGTGCCAGTAAAGTTTTGCATTCCAAGTTAAATTTGTTTGGCAATTATGTGGCTGCTCAGAAGAGTGACTGATTTGGAATGCAGGATTGCAGCCAGTGAATTCGCTGCCAGCTGCTGCAGAAAATGGCACAGACGGTCTATTAGTGTGGCCAGTTGTTGGCGTTTTTATTTTCCATTTGTCAAACTAAGGTACAGACGTGTGGAGTGGCTATAGCAGTTTTGCTTCTAATTAAGCAACAGTCTTCTGCACGTTAACCGATGGTTTAACGGCGCCTTCATTGATGGTTTAATTAGGATACTCACAGGAGGACCAGCAGGACCAGGCAAGCCATCATTACCACGAGCGCCCTGCAACAAGGACAGAGAAGTACATTCACAAACTGTCTTGGTCGACCAGTAATATTTATAAATCCACCTGATCAGTGAAGCTCTTAGGGAAGTGTGTTTGTATTGGCAGCTGTGAAGGAATAGGGCTCTCTGCTTCATCTTGGACACAATCACGTCGGATGATTCAGATGTGATTTGTTTTTGTGCTCCAGTTACATTTCTGATGTAGGTCGAATACAATGAGAGACTGGAGGAGGGAGCCAAGCCTTCTTACAACTGCACACAAGCACAGGAAGGATCAGGTGTAGTGATCCAGGAAGACAAAAAGTGATGAATGAAGTGGTGTTGGCTCCTGATCAGGTTACTGATGAGTAAATGCACAGTGCCACACTTTAGAGAACAAGCAAATGGGGGTACATAGTCAGGCACTGTGAGTCAGTGCAGTTCAGTGATTTCTACTGCAGTTACACAGGATTTAGAGAGTCAGTGGCCTAATGATGCCGGAACGTGTGTTGCAGCGATCAGAGTGTTGTCCAGGGATACGTGTTGGGCCAGGATGACAGCTGTAACGTACTGTCTCAGCCAGAGAACCTCAGGGTGATAAACTGTGACCCAATAAAGGGTCAGTCAGCGTAATCCTGTGTGTAGAACTGGAGTGGATAGGGTGGGGGAAAGTTAACAGAGCTGAAGTTCAGTGGTTTCAGCTCAGACAGCCGGGTACAAGTGCAAAAGTAATTTTGCATTACATAATGGCTGGAACTGTGAGAGACTGTGCGTATGAAATCCAGTCTGCACTGACAGTTCAGATAGTGACTTTGAATGCCACAAAGTTATTAAGGTAACCCAGCACCCTCTAACATAGAGGAGAGACAGGAATATTATAAAACCTGAAGTGGGATAATGGGATTGCCCATTTCTGGTGTTTATTATGGCTTGCCTATTTTATTGCAGTTTAAATAGAATCCATCCTATGGAAACTTAAATTGAGCCCTTCTGATTGATTATTCACTAGTTATGCATTTTATCATTCACTAGGTTAAAAACATGGTATCTTTCTCTATAAAGCGTGCCCTTGTCTTATAAAAGTATTTATATTTTAAAACAATGAGTACTTCATCCTTACAGTGAAAGGGAGAAAACATCTTAGGGAATACTTAGCTAGGAAAATAATTGGACTTGTTGTTTTATCGCGAGAGACCCATGATATAATTTTGTGTTAGCAACAATGATATCTTTAAAGACCGGTCAAAGAGACAGAAATGCACTATAGGACTATAACTGTAACCCTGACATGGGTGTTCTGACTGGGGGAACAAGACAGCAGTGTTGCCAGTCCAGGTTCGATTTACTCACAGCAACTCCAGCAGATCCGGGACGTCCTCTCTCGCCAGGCAGGCCGCGGGGTCCCTGGATCACAACAGGGAGACAGACAGAGGGTCAGATGTGCCATCACAATCAGCCAGCAGTGGAGCAGCATGGCGCCTGGGCAGGGCCAGCCCAGCTCTGCAACTCTACAGCTAAGACTTTAATGACTAAACGCAATATCTATCTGTGGTGTCTGCATATTTTTTATAAGCCTGTTCAATTGTTTAATCCTTCGATCAATTTCCAGGAAAATCATGCAATTGTGCATTTAAAATGTAGGTTTCTCACATGCATGCTAAAATATACTTCATGCAATGTAACTCTGAGGTCCATTAGTTCCACCATGGAACTGCTTGTCCACAGTTGGTGAGCCAGTGGAGAAATGGCTCCTGTGATCTTACAGTGTGACCTCTTTTGCTGACCTATTCTGCAGGAGTACAAGTGCTAAGTGCTTCATACCCAGTAAGAACTGCCGCATATGCCTCCTCAGAGGTGCCGCCCTGCCCAGCTCCAGGGGCATGTGGAGGATGGGGCAAGGGAATACTCACCATGGGTCCGGGAGCGCCATTCTCACCAGGGGCACCAGCTTCTCCCTGCAGGGGCACACACACAGGCACAGAGTGAGGGAGGGGAGAAAGAGCGGATCGAGCCGCAGTGGACTGCAAACCCGACTTGCAAAACTACCCAGAAAGTCACAAAACAACCAGCAAATGAATAAAGATCCCCCTAACAAAACAATATCCAATCGCAGAGATTCATATTAAAAGAGTGGACATGAAGTAAGAAGATACAAAGTTGCCCCCATGATTCTGTGTTACAGTCTTTCACAAGAAGGTGAATTTGAAACCCTGACGTTCTCCTGCAACTTTTACAGGGGTTCCAGTTAGAGACCCTGCTTCCT